TATATAACTATTAAATTTATAGTAGCTAATATTTAGAAATAAAAAGATAATATTTCATTTTTATATAGATTAAATATACGATATTATTTATTAAAAGAACTAATATATCTTTTATGGATCTTTTTGTTAAGTTAATTATTTAGATCTACGATTCGATTGTTTTACTGCATTTCAATCCGAATTATATATTTAAATGATCGAAAAATAAAACGATAATAAAATAATAAGCAATATATCTATTTAAAAAATAGTGTATATAAATAATAAATAATAAATAATTTTTATAAATTACTTACCGCATATCTCTGGCTGCTTCAGGCTCTCTCCCTGCTTTTTGACTGTCCGATACTTTTCCAGATGTCCTTCTCTTTTATTGTTTCATCCTTTGTTGTTTCCTCGTAGCAGTCACGTATTCACTCACGAACAAACAATTATATTTCAGTTAATTATATTTCAGTCATATACAGAAACGATCGCGAGACACTTTGCACGACACTCCCGATCGCAAAATAATCATAGGAGATATGTATTTTTATAATATTATTATTATTTTATTATTATTGCAAGAGAGGAAAAATTACAATAATTCGCTCGATTTTTAAACAAAGCCAAAATCATGCACCACTCGATTCTTACACTAATTAACTATTTCTATTTGTTGATGTATAATATATGGATAATAACGCGAATCATAAGATTAAAATATTAAAGTAATGTAAATTGATGATACAGCAATCGTTTAATTAATATGATATATATGCATGTAGTTTAGGAAAGTTTAAAACATCGGGCGAAATCGAATTTCATTCTATGCAATGTTAAAGAAATAATTATTATTCGTAAAGTTCGATAATCGGAGAATATTGCGAGAAAATTTGTAATTTTTGCCCCTTTCGCTTCAATTTTTATTTGCAATAATGAAAGATCGCGTTTCGATGAATTTATCGTCGCCACAATTTCATGTCATTTATTAATTAATTATTTGTCAATTATAATAGTCGAATTATTATATTTCGATCTAATCGCGATCGTACTTTTAGGAAAAGAATTCGATAATACGGAGCGGTCCGTATCGCTACTTTCTCCGTTGGAATGTCGCCGTGCGAATGAGGGGAGGTCGTCGCGTATGTAAACAATAGCGCGCTACGTCACAAGGTCGAATGACGTGTTAGCTCGCTACGTCACAAGGTCGCATGACGTGTTAGCTCGCTGCCGAAATATTTAACGCGTACTGTGAGAATTGTATTTATATACAAGTATATTTTTAAAGTCACACACACACACACACACACACACACATACACACACACACACACTCACGTACACTAAGAAAAAAAGTTGTTAACTCGACTAAACCATTTAACTAAATTATTTTTTTTTTAATTGAAATATCGAAATATTTAAGTTAAATAAATGTCATGTTAGATTTATAATAGTTAAATATTCCAATTAAAAAGATAATAATTTAGTTAAATGGTTTAGTTAAGTTAACAACTTTTTTTCTCAGTGTACACAGTTTAATTATTTATTAAACCTCACGAGATGTATTAATCGTTTAATAATATAAGTGTATTTATATCCAAGTATATTTTTAAAGTCTCATACACACACGTACATTGAGAAAAAAAAGTTTTTGTTAACTCAACTAAACCGTTTAACTAAATTATTATTTTTTAAATTAAAATATTGAAATATTTAAGTTAAATAAATGTCATGTTATTTATAATATATTATAATGTTATTTATAATAGTTAAATATTCCAGTTAAAAAGATAATAATTTAGTTAAATGGTTTAGTTAAGTTAACAACTTTTTTTCTTTTATAATTAGTCTTTTCTCTGTTTACTATTTGATTGTTTTATTACGCTTTTAGAAAGTCAAGTTCTATAATGTAACTTTTAATTTTGTATTTCATATGAAATTATTATTTTAAACATAATAATTTTCTTTCTTTGCATTTCTATCATGAATAGACATTTCCAACCTTTACTAAAAAAACTAAAAATATCCCTCAATTTTTTCTCTCTTCGGACAATTTATTTACATTTATATATAGTTCTCTTTATTCCTTTAAAAATGAACATCGAGAACAAAGTACACGAGTATTGTAAATGTCAAAAAATGATCGCGCGAATATTATAGTTGTGAATATATAAAAATTAATGCAATATACTATGAATTTTCTACGTTATATATTGAATCGAAATTGCATAAAAGAGGAAAAGAAGAACAAGCCTATGAATAGACATTTCCATTTTTTACTAAAAAAAAAAATTAAAAATATCTCTCAATTTTTTCTCTCTTTCTTCAGGCAAGTCTACATATATGACCAATATGATTAATTGATTCCATCTTTATATATTTATCATTATGTGCTATTAATTAAAACCGTAGACAATATTTCAGAAATCAAAGTTGTGCAAACGTTGCGCGCAGGAATGGATGCGCAGTGGTTCGGCCGCCATGTTAGCGCGTGACTGCTACGTCATACGCGTCATTGCTACGTCATACGCGTCATACGTGACTCGGAGTCATACGCAGTTACACGGATCGTCGAACGTCCGCATTTTTCGCGTCTTTTAACCGTTTTTAAACGAATATCGCGAGTGAAAGAGCGTCGAAAGTGTTCAAGGATGATCGCGCGACTTTCATAATATGTCAGTGAAAGTGCGCGACAGCCGTTTTCGACAATTCAGTGATAGCGCGATCGCGAAGATGGAGCGAAGTCGCGTCGCATTATTTGCGCCCTTGATGATTATCGGATGCAAGCGAATATCGGGAGTGCCGAATAAAGTGTCGCGCGTTCGCGTTGATGATATCGTGTGAGTTTGTGTGCATCAAGATCGGAATGGGACGTCCCGAGGCGAACGAGTGGAGCGGCCTGTGGAACAGCCGGTGAATGGTGAGTAGATTTGATTTATCATATTTGCGTGACAATTCGTGCTCATTCGACGCTTATACAGCATCGCGATGTCCCGAATTAGGTTCGAACAAATCGGCGCCGCATCATAATTCGATGCGATGCCGTGCAATTCAAATAAAGTCGATCGCGTGAAGATGGTTAGGAGCGATTTCAAATTTATTTTATATACGCGCAGTGCTGCACAGCCTATCTCGTAGGGCTGCCAACTGTTAAAACGATAAATTTTTTCGATCTAACCTAACCTAATCTAACCTCTCAGTGCTTTGGATGTCGAATGTAAACACAAGCGTACGCTGCCTGGATTTTATCATGCTTTCAAAAATAATATTTAATTATTTCATTAGTGTATTACATTTTATTACGTAGTATATTAATCGTATTAAATGTGCGACGTACAGTTTTACACATTTTAATGAGAAGCATATAATATAATTGGTTAGGTTAGATTAAATTAAAACAAGCTGCTGGGATTCATTTAATGTAATAGGATTAATTTGACGAATGTGCAGCTATTGAAGTTACATGATATTTGTGGACACATTTTTAAAGTAATCATGAGTGTCTTATCTCATCTGGATTACATGAAATTAAAATATAAAATATTTATGTATTCCACATTAACGTTATTCATTACAAGTACTATATTACTACATTACAAGTACTTTTCTTATATCTCAATCATATTCAACCATTTATTTCATCGATGAAGCTTTTCATATATCGCAGACAATATGATACTGTGTGTGGAATTTTACACAGGTAATACATGGCACAAAAATAATTTGCTCTCAAGTATTGTGTGCATTTCTCAAAAATAAATCAAATTAAATTATTTTCAGAATCCAAACATCGCTACATTGCCAGGATTGTATCTTATTATAACTGCGATATTATCACCTTTTAATATGTGTGCACAGTACTACATACATAAAATATATAAATTTATTTGAAACGTACTGAAATCTTTATAATATTCGTGATATTATAAAAGAAAATTGCAACTCTAATGAAACAGAGTGGTGGAATAATTGGTTGATACTTATGCTGATCTACAATATTTACCCTTTTTTCACCATTAGACTTTTGGTGTTTTTTTTATTATACATATGTTATCTGTAAGTATAGTACTCGTAATGTTGTTTCTGTATCACTGTAAGCATACAAAAATGATAGCATTTGCAGGTAATTATGTTATACTTATATATCGTAAGAAAGAGAAAATAAAATAAAAGTTGAATACTGAATGTGCTCTAAAGTAAATCTCATCTAAATAAATAAATGCATAAATGTGCGCCCCACATTCCTCATGAAAAAAATATATAATATTAATCTTTATGTATTATTATTTTTAGATTTGTTTTTTATTCTTTTAAATTCTCTAGATACACTTTTCATTTCTTCTCTCTTTCTTTTCAACTACTAAATATAGATCTATCATTTTTAATATAGATCTGTCATTTTTAGTGTACATTATTGCAGTAAATGGAATAAAGAGCAAATCTTTTGGCACATTTAGAATGTACAGGAAAGTCAGTTTTATCTGATGCGTTTTTTTCAATAGAAATATCTGAAAGAATTCATACGTCTTTTTTAATCTTAATCTTTCTAAATAAAAATTAGAATAATAAATTTGCAAAATAATTTGCTTTAATATATTTTTATTGCAAACATATGAAGCTCAAGGTGCATCACTATGAAAACATAGATAGAATAAAAAATAGATCGCATACAAAAAAATTAAAATATTTACATTACATATTTGATATTTCTGCAAATATTTCCATTATTTTGAGATTGATTTGTTTCATGATATATTGTAATAATTAAAGTATGATTTCTGATATAATCTGCCATGAGATTGCAGAGAAAGCCAGCTTTAATTCTTTATTTTGTTCAATATTTTTAATAATATAATAATTAAATTAAAATTCTATGAAAATATGCTTGAAATACTAAATAAAAAAGATTGTTTTTTATGTAATAAAGATAAAATGTTGAAACAAGGGGTAATTTTATAAATTTTTACAATATAATAATAAATACATAGATGAGTTTATATAAATGTTTATGAATAATATAGTTGCATAAACTTTATACTAAAAGTAAAAAGGTACAAAAATATTTTGTAAATTAATTTTTTTGTTGGAACATTATAATATGAGAAATCTTTTTTTTTAATATTATATAAAAATAGCAACAATAATTTGTATCTCAAATTTAATGGTGGAACAAGCGGAAACCAGTGTGAATCAATACTATTTCATGTTCATTGCAAGCTTCAATTACTGCTGCATCATTTGTAGACCCAGCAGGACTCGCGATATACTTGACACCACTCTGTAATGAATGAAAAAAATATACATCAGTAAAAAATTATAAAAATATAAAAAAAATTTATAAATAATGTAAATGTACATCCATAAGAAAAACAAAAATCAGTCAAGCATTTATCACAAAATTTTAACTATTTTATATTGTAGAAATATCAATGTAACAAGTGATATATTGTACATACGAGTCTAGCCCTATCAATATTGTCTCTGAATGGAAAGAAAGCATCGCTACTCAGAGCAACATTATCTAATTTTTTAATCCATTCAATTCTATCGCTTTCCGATAATTTTTCAGGTATCTCTTCATACATGGTAGCCCATGTAGCTTCATCCATATCCTTTCCTATAGATCCATTGACATAATTGTCAATAGCATTAGAGATTTCCGCTCTCTTCACACCCTTTTTGAATTTCATTCCTGTCACTTTTGGATGCTGGCGAAGCCACCTATAAAAGAAAGTGTAATATCTAAAAATATATCCATATATAATTAATTCTATATACTTATATCTATTATTTGTTTTTTTTTTCATCTTCATATACATATAAAATTAAGAAATCATATAACGAACCAGTTATCGGCCTTGTCTCCAGCAAGCCTAGTGCAATGGATCCTAGATTGTTGTCCTGCGCCAGTACCAATCACTTGTCCATCTTTTGCATAACAGACGGAGTTACTTTGTGTATATTTGACAGTGACAGTGGCCACGATTAAATCGCGGATAGCATCCTCTGATAGAATTTTCGATTTCGTCGTTACATTGTCAAATATCGACTTGTCGATAACTGCATCATTACGTTTTTGTTCCATAACTAAACCGTATAAAGTTTTGCGTTCTATTGCAGATGGCACATAAGAAGGATCAATTTGAAGTATACAATATCCACCATTCTTTTTCTTTTTTAATAACTTAAGAGCTTCCTCCGAATAGCCTGGAGCAATAATTCCGTCAGAAACTTCTCTTGATATAATTTTAGCTGTTGCAATGTCACATGGTTCGGACAATGCGATGAAGTCGCCGAAACTAGACATGCGATCGGCACCTCGCGCACGAGCATAGGCAATCGCTAGAGGCGTAAGTTGATCGTAAAGATCGTCCACTTGACACAACTTCGCCTGCACATCATTTAAAGGGACACCAACAGCGGCGCCAGCTGGACTAACATGTTTGAAGGAAGTCGCCGCTGGCAAGTTTAGCGCGGACTTTAATTCCTTCACTAATTGATAACCATTCAATGCGTCGCATAGATTGATGAAACCTGGTGAACCGTTCACTACAGTCAATGGCAATTTTTCTAAGGTAGTGAATATCTGTGCGGGTTTTTGATGCGGATTCATGCCGTAACGAAGAGTGAGTTGTGAAATTCCAGAGCTATATTGCTTGCGGAAGTAATCCGAGATAGCATTGTCATATTCAGCAGTATGAGTGAATGCTTTCAAGGCTAAAGTTTGTCTGGTTTGTAAAGAAGTGTCTTTGTTGACAGCATTATCCATCTCTTTAATGACCTTTTCATAATCATTGGGATCACAGATAACTGTAACTCTGTTATGATTTTTGGCAGCAGCTCGTAATAAAGTTACTCCACCTATATCAATATTCTCTATTGCATCCTCAACTGTCACATTTGTTTTCAAAATAGTATTTACAAAAGGATATAAATTGCAAACTACTACTTGAATAAGATCATAATTTTGCTTTTGAAGATCTTGAGCATCGGAATTAGTCAGTCTAGCAAGAATACCTATTAATGTAAGAAATAAAAAATTAGAATGTTGCAAATATCTATTACAATTATATATTAAATGTTTGCTGTGTAATATATTTATTGGATAAATCTTATCAAATAGGATTTTCATAAAAGATATTCATTTGTACCAGCATGAATAGCAGGATGAAGAGTTTTCACACGTCCATTAAGCATCTCAGGTGCTCCAGTAATTTCAGAAACATCTTGCACAGGTAGATTAGCATTTCTCAATGTTTGTGCTGTACCTCCAGAGGCAATTAATGTTAATCCAAATTCATGCAGTTTTTTCGCCAATGGCAACAAATCAGTTTTATCAGATACACTCAGAAGAGCTGAAAATTTTATAAAACTTATATAAACATTTATCTCTATCGCCATACATTTACAAATTATCGAAATACATTTAGAAATTATAGATAATTATTTACATATATAAAAAATATTAGCAAAAAAAGAACAATTTAAATTTAAGAATTTTAAAAAATCATAAAATCTATATGCTAATTTCAAAGCACCTGAAAATTTATATTTTTACTTTAATATTCATATATATGTATTTGTTCTTGTCATTAATTTTTGTATAAGTTTTGTATTTATTTTTATCTTAATTTTCAAAATACTATAAATATATATTTGTTTTATTTAATATGTGCAAAATGTATGGAACTTTATATATATTTTTGTACTTATTAAAATTCAAGTTATAAAATTAAAATAAAAAGTTATAAAATTTGAATTATTGTCAGTGAGACAATAAACAAACATAAAGAATATAAAAGTGATGAGATGTCACAATTTAAAAATACACGATTTCTGATGTAATTAATAATGTAATTCTTTGGACAGAGGATAACCTGAGAATAATTCTGGGCAACAAAATATAATTTACATCTAAATAAAAAAATTAAACAGAAATCTATTATTATCTTATTAACAAAAGCAAAAAAGTAATAAAATGTAGATCAAGACTTATGCGGTTTATTTTTTATAAAGTATATATTGTTTTTCTCGAAATCTCTGACTTTGCACAACGATTTATTTAACGATATTAACTTTTATTTTCGGTATCTTCGATTGTTTCTAATTGTATTGCATTTAATACATTAATGAAAGAACGAATTTAAATCGAAATCTTTCTTTAATATAATAAAAATCTTATCGAAGATAATAGATAAGAAAAGAGAGATAGATACATATTTTCGAGACGTTATTCGAGCTTATAAGCGAGAATTTGACCAAAGATAAAAACCTTCGAAGATTAATCCATCTGCCTTATCTCAATTTTCTTTCCTCTGTATTACATATAAACTTACCTAATTTATTTGTTGACATTTTCAAACGTTATATCTGGACAAAGTAGAGAAATAGAGAAGCTTACACACGAATCTGTCTCTTTGAATTAAAGTATCTCGGATCGTAAATATCTCTTACGAATTCACGCACGCCTCATTCATAAAGGCAATGAACAGCAATGAGGATGTGCCACGAAAAAGCATATGTTATATATTGAATAGAAAGAAGATAATACGTGAAAACAGATCCCCCCAGCAACGACCACGTCAACACGAGAGATAACGTCTTGTGACGTCTAAATATCTCGCAATAATGGTGAGGAAATGACCGGTCAAGAGTCATTCTATTTCATTCAAACAAATATTTAATAATACACGATTGTTAGTGTTGCAAGAGCGTCCCTTTGAGATATTTTTGTAAACAAAAATTATAAAAAGACAATCGATCTTTTTTATTAAAATTAAAGGCGAATAAATTTATAACTAATATTTTTAGGGACGATTGAAAAGAAAGATTGATATAATTGTAATTAGCATATTTTCAAGATTTGATTAGATATTGAAAAATTCTCTCCATATCTGGCCACTTGTAAACAACAAACAACAAATTTTATAAATATTCTAAAGACATTCCTCTTTTTTTGTTTCATTGAAAAAAAAGGAAACTGCCAATTCAGAATATTGCTATTATTGCTATATAATACTATATAATACTATATAATAATAATAGTCTATCATATAATATGCTTTAATCTTTTGACTCAATTTTATCCAGTGTATAATATTAAAAAAATGAGAAACATTTTTATACATTTATTTTACATAGGATATATATACATGAGAGGTTATATACTGTATATAAAATATTGATTTATACAAATTATAAAAATTCTTAATCATATTTTAGGATGTTCAAAGGCTTCTGTACATTAATGTTTCATTTCTCGAAGAGAACTCATGACATGTTTCTATCAGATCAAGATATTTTATCAGCAGATTCAGTTTTGTAAGTATCTTATAGTTGCATATTGTGTTCTAACTCTATATTGAAAATATTTCTTAATCTAACTAGATAATATCATACAAAGGAACTTAAATTTAAAAAATGATTTCTTTTATCATATCTCTATATTATATTTACTTTATGAATTTTTAGATGAAGCTTTTGGAGCTACTTTAACATTTCTTCCTTATAACGCAAAAGGAAATATAATAGTTACAGTACTTATAGTAGGAAAAATAATATGAGTAACATTATGTTAACAATGCCACAAAAGAAAATATCCTCAATGGTGAAGCTTAAATGACATCATGGAATCTATATAATTATTAATGGTCATTTAGGATGAGTAAGATGAGTAAGGATGTTGTGCTGTAAGACCTGGTAATAAGTGGTTTGCTACAGATGCAGCTGATAGAAATCAATCATTAATCAAAGTAAATATCCAATCATTCATTTGTATATTCTTATTTAATAACATGTCAAAACATAAAATTAACGAAATTATCTTATATATACAAATGATTCCTATATAATATGTACACATAAAATTATAGATATAGGATTTAGCAAGTGGCAAGTAGAAAATTCCTTTAACTAGTAACATAATACATAAACAGTATTTGTGATCTTGAATTTCACATTCTTATTTATTTTCCTGAGGAAAATCACAAAGTTAAATGTTGGGATCTGGAATATAATAAAGTTATCAAATACTGAGCATTTATCGACAGTATAGTCTTGTATTCCTTTAGATATTCTAACAGTAGAACGAGATTCCATTGAAAGAGTTGGGGATATGCGTATGAAAGTAAATGCTTTCATAAATACTTTCGTAAATACTTTCAGACATATACAAACACAGCTGGCATGGTTTGTTAATATGAACCATAAATTATTGTAGGCAGTCACAATTGTACAATACATTTATGGGAAAATCCCGAGCTATTCTAATAATCACAAAAAAAATGTTAGAACTTAATGTTTCATCCATTATTATATATGTTCGCTTCGATGTCACCAGATAATATTAAATTATAAAAATGTTCAGAGGCAAAGTTTATCCAAAACTAATCATAATGTATAAATAATATAATATATATAATAGTTAATTGTTTAAATGTAAATGTTGGATGGAGTTTTAATTTCCGATGCTGACAATGGAACTATGCACCTTTGAATTGGATATACAACAGGATATAATTTCCATTAACTCCAAGTGCTTAGCTCAATGGATAATAAGGCTGGAGTGTTCCGTATCATATTTGATGTATCACACTTGTATTACAGAAGTCAATAAGAGTATAAAAGTATATAAGGAAGATGATACTATAGTAAGTAAATTTTTTTAAACAATGTTTATTATATATTTGTTTGCAATTTGACAATTAAATATTGTTTTTGAGACAGAGAGAAAAAAGATTTTGCATCAATTAGTCTGTTATTTATATTTTTAGATTGAGGAAACACCTCAACTGGTGACCTAATATAAAATAAACGAAATAACAAATTTTGTATTCAAATATACATTGATATACAATTTATTCTAATTTGTATTTGAACGAGTTTAAAAATAGATTTTTTATTTTGTGTTAAAGTTATATGTTAATGTTATATGTTAATGTTATATGATAATCTGCTTTATATATATATACATATATAATTCTTGGAACGTATTTTACGTACAGAGTACAAAAAAATTTTGAAATATTTGATGAATCAGAGTAAAAAAATCTTAGGTCCTGATTCATTGATCAAACAATTCAAAACTTTTAAAATTGAGCGCATTCATGGTTGACAAAATATTCCCAAATAAGGGATTTTGAAAAGTCACTAGATTTTTGTCACACAGTAGTTGATAGTTGAACTTGAACCTCAGATTTGGCAGAGGCAGATAGAAATGTGTTGAATTTTTTGTTGAACTTATTTATTTATAATTTATCTGCAGAATGGCCGATCCAACATTACAGACCTTTTGTTGTCATCATGCAAATCGAACAGATAAAGCTATAGCGATAATGCAAGAATTCAATACAGACGCGTACAATACAGTGTGTATGATTTCATCGACAATGGGCATGATAGGCGCGATTTACCAGGTAAATTTATAGGAATTTTAAAAGGAAAGCTCACCGGTTTTTTTGTAAAATGTTTAATTATATTACTACAGTATTATTATCATTCATTTCATCAAAATAAAAATTTATTTAAAGTGTGCTTTTTTCTTTTTATCACATATAGAATTAAAAAAATTTGTTAATTATAAATAATTTTTGTTAATATAAAAACTATACGTAATATAATTTTATATTACATATTTTGTAAATAAGTAGAAAATTGTACATAAGTAGAAAAAGAAAAAACATTATTTATATCTTATGATAATTAGAATTGAAATTAATTCACACAGCACAAAAATATCTCTTTTTTTTCTAGCAAAAATTTTTTTAATTATGGAGAGACTTTCAAATAAAAAAATTCTTTGCAGATATTACCTCGGGAGGATTTCACTATTTCTCAACGATGGAGAACCTTTTCTAGAGGACGAGACATTATTGTATGGCTTGCTGTTGCTGATCTCTTAGCATCTTTAGGTCTAGTTTGTTATTACAATTTGATTATGCTAATAACTTAGTATACTATATTGAATTTCTATAAATTAGTTACAATTTCATTTAGTTGATTTGAACAGTGAATGTGATATGCAGTAATATATAAGCATATTTTATCTGATTGTTTCATACTTGATTAGGTGTGTTTGTGAGAGCGGCATTGTGGAGGAATTTCAAGTCTATCATGCCAATGGAAGGCGACATGTCGAGTGTTATTTTTTGCGCCTTGTCGTCGGTAACATTAACGCTTTTACATCTACAACAAGTGCATACAGAACTTTGCAAAAGAATTGTTTATAGGCATGGATTCAGTATTTCTACATGGCTACTTGGATATGGACATTATGTTACGCAGTGCACATGAAGTTATTGTTAGGTGATAAAAATGGACATCCTATATATTATCATATTTTGGCCTGGGTGCTTCCAGCTATTCTCACCTCATTTGGACTGATCATCTTATATATTCCAAATGCAAAGTCAGACTTTTACAAGTATCACAATTATTTTTATATATATATTTAAAGTGATGATAACAAGATTATCTTACAGTTGTCACAGTTTGACATCATTATCCAGTGCCATATTGCGTATTCTTCCAAACTATTGTACTACATATGTACTATTGGTAATAGTCATGATAGCAAATCCTATTTTGTATATTGCATCAACTCGAGATCTTGAAACAGCAGTTTTATATAGTATGGCTCAAATGACTGGAAGAGAGCGAAAGTTAATACAAACAGTTAGATTAAAATTTGCTCTCATCAATTTAGTCTATTATGTATGCTGGATACCTAATATAATCAATGGAATATTATTGTGGACGCTATGGTTTAAGTTGCCAATTATGGCAATTATTACCTTATGGTACATAATGGTATGTTTAATTTTCTTATAAATTTTAAATATGTATGTGTTGTAAGCTTAGAAAAGTGATGGACATTTTGAATTGACAGGCTGTGACAAATCCTCTTCAAGCATTTTTTAATGCGATTGTTTATCAATCATGGAATAGAAGAGAAAAATTGCGTCTTGAATGTTGTCAAGATTTCAAATCTAGTACCAATATACATTTAAGTGCAATTGATAAAAGAAACAATAGTGCTCATTTTTCTGAATCATCTCCACTATTGCATCCAAGAAAAGAATATAGGCAGAATAAACCACATATCAGCATAAATGGATCTTCATCTCTATGAAAGTCTGTTTTTATTGCTAGTATTAGAAATGTAAATATTATACTCTGATGTTATGTTAAAGAGAATAATTTTAATATATAAAAAAATTAAAAGATTTACATATCATAAAATCAGATTCAATGTGCACGAAATTTTTGAAATCACAGAAAATTGAAGTTTTGACAAGTGCAATAAAATTTTTCGGAAAGTCTTGTGATATAAAAATAATTGTAGAATAAAAAATAAATATTTTTAATATGGAGAAATTTTTTATAAAAATTTTTGATAAAGTATATTAAAAATATAATTTTTTATATTAAAAATTTTTATATTAAAAATATAATTTTTTAATATATATTGTATTTGATGTAATGATCATAGAAATTGTGAATTTAGTAATTTAATTATTATCTATATCTATAAAGAATTGCGAACTTTTTAACTTTTTTAAAATAGTGAAACAGAAAATATAGGAATTGAAAAAAGAAAATTCATATAATATAATATACAAAGATTTTTTAAAAGATAAATTAAGTTTTTGATACATCTGCAATATACAATAAAACTGTTCAATTATTTTTCATAAATAAAGTGCCAGTAATATTTTATGATATGCATATTTGTGTGATGATTTAAATAAAATGATATAACAAAATAAAAACAGGGTATATGTATATGTATACACACATATATATAAAGATTTCATTATTGATAATATTTTGTACTTAAATATTATGTTATATACTAAATATTGTGTTAAAATATATATCTTTTTCTATATCATAATATCACGATCAACGGCGGTCACACATACATCATTTTATATACATATATATCATTATCATATTTTAACATTAAATGTATATATTCATTGTATAAATTGGCAATGAAAAGAAATTACAAATCTTATATTTTAAGAATTTGTTCATTTCCACATTAACCATCTTAGAAGCGAAAATAATAGCAAATGATATTAACAAATCATATATACATATTCAAAATAGTTAAAAATAATAAGATAGTTGATAAAGTTTTTAGAATAAAATCGAAGATTAGAAAATAAATTACTTTATGAGATATGTAATTAGAAGTTTTGATGTTTTTTGAAATTATTTTAACAAATATTAAATCAATTTTTTACAAAAAAATTATTTTGATGAATATAAATGACAAGAACATTTGCAAATTTTCAATCATAATCGATGACAGAAGAGAAAATTTGAAATGATGAAATTTTATATATATATATATATATATATATATATATATATATATATATATATATAGTTAAATTATTGTTTTCTGCTGTCATTGAGTATTTTACAATAAATTAAAAAATAGAAAAATTTTTAATATTTATGAAAAATATTAGAAATTATGCTGCTTATAAGATCATTCTAAATTTTTCTATATATAACAAATTGCGTGTATGTACATATATTTCACTTGTAATAAAGTTACTTACATTAATAATAAATTCAAGTGAGATTATAGAATTTTACTAATTATACAAAATATATTTGATAACAAATCTCGAAATATAAAAGTAAAAAACAAAGACACAGGACATATTTTTCTCCACATAATACTCTGCACTTTCTTTTTAAAATGTTATATATATTAAAAGGCTATTAATTAGAATCATTTATTTATATCAATAATCTGGTTGGCACTTTGGTAAAGATTGCAGCATTATTTCGCTAATATTTAAAATAAAGAGACAAAAGATTTATACAGAATACAAAATATTTTATACTTAAAAAAAACTTAAGCCTCAAAATTGTCATGTCCAATTTGCACCATCAAGAGGGAAGATTCGAAGTTCCAAGTGTTAAAGACGTGATTTCACGAACGATCATCTCAGCAATTCTCCATGCTAAATCTTCTTTAGCCTATCACAATTAAATTATAATGTAACATGAAATTATGTGTTATTGATTTCAGCATGCAAATTATTTTAATATTAATCAATGCGAATATTACAAAATATTTACCTTATCTTGTTCTATATTTACAAATCGTTTTACAACACGAGTTAGACGAGATTCTGAAATATACGTACGTGATTTTATACACTCTCATGTATGTGTTAATTCGATCTTTTAAGTATATAATATTACTTACCATATTTTCTATAAGAATCTGGTTCTATTTCGGTAATAAATCTTCCTAGGTTGTCAACATAGCCTATGCTTAAACTAAAAAGTACATTAAATTATTTTATATAATTTATTTAGATTAGAATTGATTAATATATAAAAATATATGTATTAATATCAAAATACCTATATTTATTACGTCGCCATAAGGAATCTGGATCATAAAGTTGCCTAGTGTCAATATTCAGGTGACTGTTAATGTTTTTTTTATTATCAGGTAATCTATTACCATTGTTTCCTATTTGAGAAGTGCTTGGCATACTAGTACATACAGAGCTTACTTCACTACTACAATCTGAACCTGTAAATATTTTGAAAATATATTAAATCTTAATTTTTAAATTTTTATACATTATATGAAAATATTGTTACTACGTTTTAAAAGAAACGATATCTTTATAATATTTTACAAGAATAATATTATGTTACTGAAACTATCAACTGTATGTGATATCACCTGTTCTCCTTATCTTGGAATGTAAACTCGGACATGGGCTGCTCTGAATCGTGCTGATTAACTCCGATAAGTATTTATAATACAGTTGGGAAGATAAGAACGCCGGGAGATAATGCTAAAGAAAAATATAATGTAATATGTGGCATCACTTTTCAATTGATTGCTTTTGATGTAAGAGCTTATATAGGTATGGATGTATAATAAGTAAATATTTGGTGCACCTTGTTGAGAAAGTTATATACAATTTTACTGGGTTTATCGAAACAATCGGCCTGTGTACCTTCCTCGTCCTCGCGACAAATATTTTGTTCTACATGAAAGCGAATTTTATCACTAAATCCAAGAGGCATGGTCGCTTGTAAGCTAAAATACCTACCAAAAAAACAGTAATATTCATAAAGATTCTTTTGTTTTGTTTTTTAAATATTTTCTACATATAGCTTTAGATGTTTTCTATATATAGCTTTAGAAATTACTTCTCATAAATAATAACGGCATCGGACTGTGCTTCTTCGGGATCGACTGCACCTTTTTTCCCCAAGAGATTCTGTTTGTAACTTATAGTCGACATCCAAAAATCTAGCAATTCTCGTTTATTTTCAAGTTCCATAAACTAAAATGAAAAGAATGAAAATTATCTCTAACTCAGAATTTTTCACATAAAAATAATAATTGATGGCAAGATGCAAACCTCCATGAAATAAAAGAATGCTGTTTCATTATACAATATATCTGCTAATTGTACATTGCCACTAGTGAGTACATCAATTTGATGTTTACAGTAGAATTGACTTCGTAAAAAATCATTAATATATCTATAAAACAAAATGTTTGGGAGCATAAGTTATTTATTTACATAACATATACTTATGTCATATATTAATGAATGTCTCACTTACTCTTTCTCTAATATATCATATACTATGCTTTGAACAGCAGATAGGCACTGTAATATAGGCTCATTGTTTTCCTGCATGATAGTTTTCTCCATCTCCAACTTTAATTCTTCAGATATTTGATTTATACCCAGAGCTTCTTTGAGAATATATTTCTTGTAAATTCTCAAAGCATCTTGTCTAGTTGTTGTCATGTCGTGTCTCTTACTGCTACAATCATGATTTGATTGTCGTGCTTTACTTATCGTCTGACTAGTCTTTGGCATACCATTTAATAAGGATGTCACATTATCATTATTCTCATCAAATGGTATTTCGCTGCTCGTTTGAGTATCTACATTATTAGAGAGTACATTACAACTAAAGTTTTTGTTATCGTCTAAGGAATTAGGTAAAGTTTCTAATAAATCCTTTTGATTTGAATGTCTAGTTTTTTCTGCATCTTCACCAGACATGTTAGATGCACTGCATAAGCATTCCACCTCTAGCCAGAACTTTATAAGAGCTATATGCTTTCTGGTATCCATAAATTGAATGAAATAACCAAGGGCACTCTTGTCCATAAGTACTTCTGGTAGAGTTTTGGATAATCGAGAGCTGAAGCTGTATGCTTCTTTAGTGTCATTATTGAGAATTTCTTCCTCCTCTTCTTCCTCGAGATTGCACAATACACCCGAGGGTGTTTGAATGGACAATGCGCTGCTGTCAAATACATCTGTTGGAAAGTTTCTTGAACTCGTTGATCTTGCAGGTGAAGTTTCTAACAATCCCGGCTTATCCCTTTGTCCTGTAAGAATTGCATGAGATTTTACAAAATAGCAGATAAGAGATAATTATATAAAAGAACATGTATTGTTTTAAATAATTATTTTTTGCATTTAACATACTTTCTTGTAGAAAATGTAATTAATTTCTGACTTCAATTTACAAATAGTAATTATATATGACATACATATATATAAACAAAAAGTAATTAAATAAAAGTAAACAAAAAGTAATAAAATAAAAGTAATAAAATTTGAACTTGATACTTATGAAATGCGATTAATTACGATAATTTTTCAAGTTTCATTTCGATGGAAATAAAAAGAAAGTGAGAAGTAGAAAGGAAAAAGAAGAGATGTAATGTCGTGCTGTAAATGTCAAAGGGTCAGATGTGGAAGGAAGGTAACAACAAGGTTATACACAGCGTTAGAAAAATAATTGTTTTCTTATCGCGTATATAATCTCGCTCGATGTAAAGCGATAAACGCGCGTAATTACCAATCTTCTTAAAAAATTGGAGCATCGTTCGTGTCAGCGCGTAACATGATAAGAGTCGCCGATGAGAGATGTACAGGGCAAGGAAAACAATAACTACGCCCGCGACTGCGAGCGTATCCTACGGAAGATGAGTGGAACACATCGGTTTCACCGAAATGTCAAACTGCGCCGCGCGATCGGGATCGCAGGTCCCGATCCAGCTGACGGAGGAATTTCGCGTCGACCCTGCTGACGATGATAATGAATCACCCCGGTTACGCGCGAACGCAGCGGTGTGCGACATTTCGCGTTGGCGTCATTACGAACGTAAGTGACAGATTACTGTGTTATTTGCATCGTCGATTACGACAGATCGCGCGGGTGCAGGTGCAAGTAGCTAAAGCGCATCGCGGAAAATTCGGAAAAAGCCTCGAGAGAGATACTCGATAAGATTTACGGAGCGATCCGGCGAGCCACGTTCGCACTAGATAGACGCATCTTCTGCACCTAAAGGAATGTAAACATAGGGATACCTTTGACGGGAGGAGGCTAAGGGACCGAGAGGGTGCAGAAAGTGCACAATTGCTAAATGCGCGCGTTTTCCGTACGCTTTCGAAATACGGACAGTTAATACAATATGGCGCTAGTATTATTGTCGAGGTATCATGATGTGATTATTTTATAAATATTGTATAGATAGATATATTCAATTTTACTTGAAATTTTACTTAAATATTTGAAAAACATTAATTGTACTTGTTTAAAAATATGATTTTTTTTTCTATATCTTCTATCTAATATAATATTTATATTTGACATATATATTTGACAATATATCGATAACTGCATTATATGTATATTAGAGACATATATACATATATAATATACATCATTTTCTCCAAATAAAGGGATGAAATTGTAACGATAATTAATTTTTAGATATCTCTGTTGTGTTGCTTGTATCGTCTCGATTTGCCTTAAATCACATTCAAGCACTTGAAACAATTTATATTAGCTCGAAGAAAATAAGACATTAATAAACAATAGGTATATGAAGACCTCAAATTGATGCAAAAGATCCCTCATATTGAATTCAATCTTTTTTCAACGAATCTTGCGATATTCATAAGCAATTACGAGAAGATTATGTTTTATTTAAGATAAATATAGTGTATTTCATTTATTCTTCAGTTCATACTGAAATAATATATTACAATAAATAATAAATTATAAGAACCATGAAAATACATGAAATAGTCTCTCGCAATTTTTTCGTGAGAACGTTTCTTTTTTTTATATTTTTTTCCGTATAAACTCTATACTTTATATTTTATATTTTACAGAAGTACCGAGATCTTCTATAAGACACTTAGGATCAATTTCTCGAACGTGCGCCAAGTGGACGATAGATCAAATAAGAAGCGTCCGGTATCGGGATCGATCGTGCACGTGCAAACACTTATGCACGAGCCAAGTGAAGGAACGGATAAAAATACACGCGAGTCAGAGAGATCCGATTGCGAATATACATACGCTTCGAAGACCGGCTGTCAAGGTAGAATGCGTCGGGGGCAACGGCCGGGCATCGTACTTGAAAGATCGCGAAGCGAAGTGAAGGCTAAAAGGTGACGGAGACGAGAATAGGACGCGTCTCTCGCGGACTGTCCACGTTTGTACCGGTTTGTCCACGCACGCCCGGATCAGCATGCTCGGATCGTAACGTCCGAGACGAGTAAACCGGCTGTCGAATGATGTAGGTCCCCGCCGAGAAGGCGGAGTCCCCGATCACGCGATCTACGAGAACGGGCTGCCCCGTAGCTTCCGCCATCGGGCATTTTTCAGTCGTACCTCGTCAGGACAGAGGATCGCGCCACGATTACGATCATGCTGCTCACCCTACGCGGCCTCCTCGTTATCGCGATCTGTCGCGTTATCGCGGCAACACCCGCGTTGATTAGACCGGCGACTTACGATCAGAGGCAGACCGGCGACCTAAACGTGCAGATAGCGCTCAAGGACTTGCGTATCGTCGCGCTGCTCGACTCCGAACTCTTGGACGATTATACGGTAAATGAATCCTCTCCGATAGGAAGTCACGCGAGCTCTTTTTCTTCCTCTTCTTCTATGGACGTCTATTCCTATTAGGATGCAGCATGATTCTTTTATCTCTTTCCATCCAATTTCTCTCTTCTACATTATTTTATATACTTTCTTGCACTATAGTTTTTGTAAAAAAATTATATATAATATAAAAATATTAAATTATTAATATATATAATATAAAAATATATTAAAAATTATTATATATGATATAAAAATATTAAAAGATATTATATATGATGTAAAACTATTTAATATATAAAAAAAAGTATATATATATATATATATTTTTTTTTTAATATATTTCTGTTATTGATATATTCTTTTATTATTTTATAATCAAGATTCTCTTTTTTTAATCACGTTATATACAATCTTTAATTGTAAGATATATTTAGAACAAGTCTTATAACTTATGTACTTTACATTCTTTGCTGAATAATATAAATGAATTATTTTAAAAATTATTAATAAATATTATTACAATATTCATCATCAATGTTACATTGTCTTTGCAGGATTACGATTATTTCTACGATTATTCAGACTTCACCATCAAGCCGGGCGGCAATAGACCCACCACAAGCCCCACCACAAGTTCCACCACGGAAAAAGACGATATTACGGGAGTTTCCGAGCCTCTTTCGCCGCTAAATTCGACCGCCTCGACGACTTTTGGTAATATAAATTCGACTGAACATTCAACGTTATCGAATGACGAAAAAATCCCGAATGCTAATCCATCGAACGGTATCGCAAACTTGACCTCAATTATGGATAACGATAAGAGTCAATCGAGCGAAGAGAATGAAGAGCCCGAAGCAATAGTCGCTTCTTCGGCTATGATGAAATCTGCTCTACGATCACAAAAGCGTTGTAAATCCGGATATACTCCGAATGGCAATGGACGTTGTCGACGAGTAAGTCGGCCATGGCTGTCTTTGTTGCCGTGAATATAATCAATGATCAATCGATCGAATTTAGGTAATCATTAGAAGTTAGATTGAAAACAAATATTCATATTAAATTTCAATTACGTTTGCTTTGAAATAATTTGTACTTTTTTAACGGTCATAATTATTCTCAATGTAAATTTCCTTTTATTTCATAATCCTGTTTTAAATTTCGACACTGGCAATGAATCCGAAAGTACAACGCAGAAAACTTTCGTTTTTAAAATAAGATATACAATTAACAAGATAATTTTCAGGAGAAAACGCAACTTCTCTCTTAATCTCGTTTTTTAGAAATTTGTAATTTTTCTTTCGATTATTTTAATTCAATTTCTACGACCAATTGTTATGTCAAATAAGTCTGTTTAAACTTTAGACTTATATTTTATTTATATAATTAATTGCGCTTCCCATCGACAATCGTGTTGAACAAACAATCAATCTCAATCCCACGCCAATCTACATGTAATGTCTTAATCCAATAGCGAGATGGATCCCCCTATCATACAAATTCCGCGTACCGGTTCACGCGACGAGTCACAAGCACGGCGAACCCGCTATTCGCGCGATCGTCGCAGTTGCGAAAAGGATCCCGTTCGTTTCGCTCGCGTTGCCGAAGAGCAATAACGACGAAGGTCGAACAGCATCGCTCATCCCGAAGATCAAGCTCATCCTCTCATCACGTACTTATCTATATTGTACGTGCACATATCAACGTATATATAATATATACACATCACTAGAATGGCGGTGATCCGGATGTTATTGTTCTTTGGTACGGCGTTCTTTACGCTTGTTAAAGTTGACGCTGCTCCGACGAGGTATGATCAACGACAGGAGGGCGATGTCAACGTGCATGCCCAGCTTGAAAATTTTCTCTTCGTCGTGGCCATTCCCAGCAACAACAATCTTCTCGGCGACCTGGCGTTGCAGGCTCTCGAACTCAAGCAGCAATTGATCTCTCGGTCGAGTTCGAAGGGACAAGAATCAATTGTTTCCTCCAACGAAAAATCTCTTAGGGCTGACATAGCAGAACCTGCTGTGGAGATTATCCAGATAAACGAAAATCATTCGAATAAAGGAGCTACGATACACAAAACAGAGGGACAAAATGAGGAAGCAACAAATGTTTCGAATCAGCAAACAATCTTTTCGATCAGCAATGCGCAACAAGAAGCGAAATTTCCTGAAAGGAGCGCGAAAAATATGCCAGCTTTCGAATTTCCCAAGAGTCGCGAGGAGCCGGCTATTATAGGATACTTCGTGGATGCGAGAAAAATACTTGAATCTAAGATCGAGGACGAGGGACGGGCTCGAAATGTAGTTGAGAATGTTCGAAACCCCATCATCGAATCAGGAAGACCGGGAACGACGTTGAAAAAACAATTGCTTCAAAAAGAAGAGGATATCGAGCTGCCCTCATCGAACGCAGATAAAAACGACGTAACTTCATCATCCGAGGATAAACAACAGGATGAGCTAATATTGCTGGGCGACGAATATCACAAGAACTGCGGCCCAGATGGATATCGCGATGCATCCGGTATCTGCCATTATAAGTCGACCATTATAAGCCATGCTCTTTAGCTTCAAGTTCCGATGATTATAGTTTTAAATATTGAGATATACTACTTAATATCACAGTTATCTCTCTCGATGCAATAGTTTATATTTTCCTCTTTTTATTTAGCAAATATTATATCTATTGTATACGCATATCGATTTCAAATAGTTAGTTAATTTTCTTTTATTAGTGCAAGAATTGTGTCGAAGAATCTTTTGATTTTAATTTAATGTTTAGAACGCGCTAAAATGCAAAATGGTTGTTATTTTATACAAACGAGTGTAAAGCGAAAGTTACACATGTATTTATCAGGCTTTGAATAAAATATTTAAACATCAATAACAATGTGAACATGCATTTAAATATAATCGAAATCGTAATAAACGATTCTCATTAATTTTATTGAATTTTCACATTCTCTTTTAAATCAATAATTTCTTGCAAAACAAGAAATATTAATATAATTATATTTTTTATATTTTTCCAAATTATAATGTAACAATGTACAATATCAAATGGATTCTTATCCTGAATATTCTTAAAACATGATCTACTAATCAGGAACATGATCGCACAAAATAAATATACAATTCTGTGAGAATCTCTGGAAATAAAGATCGGTTCCAAAAGCGATGGCGATTTTTTACGATGGCGTTGATTCCCACCAAAAGGCGGAAGCGTAAGAGAAAGAGAGAGCAAGGGCAAGGTTACGGTAATAGGCGCCAAGAGCTGCGAGATGGGGAAACGAACTCATGGCGAACGGCCACGATAGGACATTGCCCTTTACAAAGATCGGTTACTATAGATGTACGCACACTCCTGTATACTTATATACATCTATATACATACATACATACATACATACATATATATATATATATTTTTTACGACGATACAACATGCAAATATATATATATATATATATATATATATATATATATATATATATTTGCACGTTGTATCGTCGTGCCATAACTATTACGCTTTATCTTTGGCGTCATCTCGTGTTGTTTCCTCTTGCTCCTTTTTCTCTTGAATGAAACCGGTTACTGCCGCAAGGGACACTTGATACATCGTTGATGAGGATCGGGTTCAGAACTTCCGCGATTTAGTCCTCGAATATTGTTATTGCATTATTATATTGATATCATCAAATTTGTTTCTTCTCTTTTCAATGATAGTTTTGAATGTAACTGCAATAAAGACAGGAGAATGTAATGATGAATATTATAAATTGTTTGGTCAGGTTTCGCATGTCTTCTCGAGATCATATGTACAATTTGCCGCAAGACGAATAGTTCTCGAGTGACTGAAAATAAAAATGATAATCTTGTTAGTTTTATTTTCTGACATTAAGTAAACTTATAATAATTTTTCAGAACGCCTCAACTTTTTATCAATTGAATTACGAATGGTGAAGTTTAATCACGTTTGAGCTTCGGAATCTTCCCTCAAATCTTCGTCTAAATTACATGTGTTTTACGGCATATCAACAATGATGATACATGCCGTTAGCGGCCGCTGTCAGCTTCGCCGAGGTTCTTGAACTTTTCCAGGGATTCGTTTCCAGAACCGACCGAAGGAAGGCTCAGGTTCGAATCGCCCAGGTGGGGATCGGAATCGTCTTCTAGTATGAGACATCGCCCGGTCGTCACACCTCGGGCATCCTTCGTGTTGTCCGGACACATCGTTCTCCAACTTCATTTCATCTACCTTCGTCGCATCTTCGGAGACATCCGGTCCTATCCAATCGTTATAAAAGTTGCAAAAAGTGGTTGGTCCCGAGTTCACGTTCGTTGAACCAGAAATAAAAAATTTGGCGAATTCGACGCTCAAGAAACATCTTGAATTTCTGAACTTGTCCAGATTCAATCAAGGAGTAGGAAAAACAATATTTTAATTTAACAAAATCAGGAAGAGTCTGAGAACGGAAGACGACTCAATGTTATCGATCAATATGCGTATATTCAAGACTGTGTTGCTCATCGTTTCCTTTGGAGCGAGCGTTCGGTGTTTGCCTGTCGCCGAGGAACCGTCCAAGACTGAAACCTCCTCGTCGTTGATTCCGCAGGAGACAACGACAGCGGCGATTTCCACGTCTGATACCATCGATTATTACGATCAGCGACAGAATGGTAGCGAGAACTATCGTATCCACGTAGACGGTGTGGTATTCGTATTCGCGCCGGTCGAGGCTCTGCTCCTGGCTGGTGCGACCGACTCCAATTTACCGATTTCCAATCATAGTGAATCTTCAATTCAACTTGTTGGTGATAAACCCAATATTAACCATAATAAAACCGAATCAGCGATCTCGAAAACAATACATAAGTAAGAGTTTGAGATTCTAGCTACTTTATATTCTTTTTAATAATTATTAATAATCATATTATTAATCATTTGAATTATAATCAATAATGTTAATTCTATGTGTATAATTTCTTATTATAACTAATGTTGACATACAGTTTTAGTTTTTTAATTATAAAAATAATTTAATTTTCTCGATCCCACATGCTTTTTGATTCCAGACCAGCTTTACGATTGGCGAATTTCTTGGCGCCTTTAATACGTCGCATACATCATGAACGAGGCATGAGCGTGCACTAAAATGGCTCTTCAATACTCGCAATTTCAATATATATATATATATATATATATATATATATGCATAATGTTCTTCATAAAACATATATTAGAGAAACGGTATTTTTCTCTTTTTCTTAATATTTTATAGATTTTTTCTCACTACACACACACATTTAACACACTCCTATAATTATTTAAAATACAATTTAAAAAAAAGTTATGTATTATAGGAATAAGATATCCACATCTACAGGGATGATAAACGAATACTACAAAACATATAGACTACATGTATATGATTGACGATCGACTTGACGTTGAATTATATAGTATCTATTATCAATAAAGAAATGCACTAATTATTTAATTCATGAACTCTCATTTCATTGACATTATTCATAATGAAAGCTATTGATTCAATATCCACATATGTATTTACATGTTGATGTCTAATTTTAATGTTATATTCCTATTTTGAGATAATGGAATTGCAATATAACTCTTAGTAAATTAAATGGATATATTAATGACGATTGAGGAGATCTTACATATTGACAGTGAATTTCCCAAATATGTTTTACATGATAATATTGTTTTATGTACAACAATATTATAATTGTACTATTATGCATTTATATTTTCTCGATATATGAAAATTTATTTGATTAAACATTAAAATACATATGTGTCATATACTTCTTGGTGCAATCATCACAATGTTTCCAATGAAGATGCTTAAAGCTATATAGACTCTGTGTTCTTAAAATCTTTTGCTTTGATTGAAAAGAGTTTATATAAATTTTTACAATATATGTTATATTATCTTTGGTTTCAGCCTAAGCAATCTCTGTAGCAAACATTTTTCAAACTTATCATAAACAAACATAAATTCTATAAGCGTTAATGTATATACATTCTTAGTTAAAAAAGGAAGAAATTACGTACATAAATATGATCATTCAAATATTTTTTCTAGTTTCATCTATTAAGACATTTTTTTTATGCATTTTTATATATGATTTGTTACAAAATATTTCACTATTTATTTTTTCGGCTTCTTTACACAATAATGACGATAAGCATCACGTACATAATAAAAGATATTGAAAATTCATCCTTTTTCTAGATAATGCCTTGCATCTGTTATATTCTTTATTAAATGCTAATGTTTTTATTATCATTATAATAGGAAGATACCCTGTTCATTTTGCCATGAAAATTATAATATCAATATTTTATTTATAAGTTTAGAGATTTAGATTTTGACCATTTTCTATTGATTTTTATGCGTTTAAAATAAAATTCTATGAAATGAACCCAATATAAATCAGTGGAAATCAGTATTGAGTTAAATATACGATATCGCCAATAATGATATAAACACAATTTACAATTGTATTATATCTTCACAAGAAGTATATTAGTGTATTTATACAATGTATTCTTTCATTATGTCTGAATTTTAATAACATATGTATATATATTTGGTATACACTAATACATTTATAAATGTAGCTTTAGAATCATCCATTATTCGTGTATTTTACTCAATACTGTAAGAAAATATACAATAAAAAATCAGTAGAATTAAATATCCTCTGATATTCTTCTACAGACTATGTGATAGCTATAATTGAACGTAATTTTAATTATGATTATTTATTTTTTTAATAGTTTAAATAATTATTTCTAGATGTACAATTATTTTAAAAATAATGGTGAGTTTAGTCATCTGAATTTGATCCAATTACTTTTTCTTTTCGTCGATTTCGATATGCAATATCATATATACTCAATCCTTGAAATTAAACAATGGCAGAGAAATGAAACAAAATATAATAAATGTAATAAATAGAAAAAAATGATATGATTTAAATACATGAGTCATTACAAAACTTTTTGAAAAATTCATTCACGTCAAAATTGAATGTTTCAGTAGAGTTTTCACGATTAACAACAAATCATTCGTCAATATATTCTTAATATAGTCAATACTAATTCAGACTATTAAACTTGACATTTTTAAGATTTGAAATCCATAATGTTATACATTGTTAGGAAAAATATATATGAAACTAAAAAGATATTAAAGAGACATTAAATGGAAGTTGCGCTTCGTTCGCATTGAGATCTTCACAGTCTACTTCACTGGGACCGCTATTAATAGCAAGTACAGCGTCGTCAAACTTTAATTCCTCCTTACCCGCCTACAGAGGAATTATTTCATTTGACATTTTTTTTCAAAAAATGAGTTAACTTATATTAAAGAGATATGGCAGTAGCTCGTGGAAGAAACACATTATAAAAATGTATCGGCAACATCGCCGGCTATTACCTCTTTGAGCAGAATCCGACAATTTTCCACAACGCTACGTCGCCGATCTGATACACTGTTCAGAACTTCTTCCGGTGACTGATGCAGATTATCAACAATTTTACGAAGCTCATTCAATTCTGTCATGGTAGCTTCTAATTTTATCTCCAAGTTAGATCTGCAAATGATGTTCCATAATTAAAATTAATTTTTATCATTCAATGATTTAATTAAATTGTTTAAGACGTAAACTTACTTCTCTTCTTTCAATTCCTGTATACATGTATCGTTATCAAGCTGTATGATGCGTAATACTTTCAGAAGTTTGGTAACCAAATTATCTACCTCGATCACTTGATCGACCAAATCCACAGAAGGACAATAATCCGTTAAAGGCACAGGACCATCATTAGTCCCAGTATCAGATTCGCTCACGGAATCGCAATCATCATCACCTTCATCTTCGACCTGCGAATCATATTTTAAATCATTATATTCTATTATTATTGAATTATATTTTTAAACATTTCACGGATTTGATTTACTTTAGATACTTACCTTACGACGATGTAAGATCGCCTGAGTGAGATTCATAAGACTAGTACATTCGTCACCTATCTTTGTCTTCCTCATGTTATGCTCGTCCGTCGTTTCGGGAAAACTCATAGCTCTGCGAAGAGAATCGCTGCTCGATACCATGTTATGAGAATATGTATCAGGCAAAGGTACATCTTCCAGAACGCTTTCCATCATCAGACATGGCTCGGTTTCAAAATCGAGCAAATCAGATGATGATTCCATGCTTAATTCTGTACGAAAAACAATTTTAACAAATGTGAACTCATAATCCATTTATTACATATCTCACTTGTATTTTATTACCTTTGTAAATTTGTTTAGATGAATCTAGATTGGATTTTTTGTCAATATTATTTCTCATCGCAAATGGATGTGTCGCTGCGTTTCGAATTGCGCTAATTACGGCGGAAACAAAGGATCCGCTTTTCGGACTCGGCGTGCGTTCCTTTAAACTTTGCTTAGAGTTAACTGGACTAGACTCTACGCTACTATTACTTCTGCTATAGGCTTCGTTATGATATATGACATCCTTTGAAAAACAGAATAACGATATAATTAAACTTTCTAATAATGATCGTAAAAAGAAAATAATTTCTTGATTATTGATTTTATTATAGAAGAAAAAAAACAATTATTTTTACAATTATGTTAGAATATTAATCTTCCATATATTACTACTATTACGTATATCTACCTCAAGATCCTTTATTGAAATATTATAAGAAGCAATTAACTGATCTATTAATCCTTCTAATCTAGTGCTGAGTCCAGAGAGAGCAACTGCTGCTCCGGACATGGCAGCGCCTTGAGTCAGTAAAAGTTCCCTACTTCTTCGTTCAACAGCATTCAATTTCATACTCATTGATAAATTCTCCTGCCTAAACATCAATAAAAAGATAAGCTTTAAGATATTGTTCAAAAGTTTAGTATAAGCATTTCATAAAATATATACCTTCTTTGTTCGCTAATTCGTACTAAGTGTTTACACTCCTCTGTTTGTCTTTCTAATTCCGCTTGTCGTTGAATTAAAGTCTCTTCTTTCTTCTTGAGCTATAGAAATCAAATAAGTGTGAGATAGAATGATACAAATCATACTTTAAGAAAAAAAGATTTAAAAGAAATGTACCTCTGATTCGGCATCCTTAAGCGCATCCGCCAAAGTAGCTTTCTCTTCTTGGAGAAAATCTTGCATTTCGGCTGATTCGGCTTCTAATTCTTGCTGTTGTTGCAGCAAAGCTTTTTGCGCTGCTAAACTTTTTTCTAAATCCTTTGATAAAAATAGCATAAAAGAAATAATTTCTCCATATTAATAATTGCATATATTTCATAGTTATTATTGTATAATATTCTTACCCTGCTTAACATACGACAAAGTGATTGCAAATCAGCTATTTCGACTTGTTGATTAGCCACAACTTGACCCGAGGATTGTATGTGACATTCGAGCTCGAGGAAGCTGTCACTGCCTTCTAAAAAAATTTTTTCCGTTAATATAATTTTTATTCTATAAATTTCATCTTTACAAGATATTTTACAGATACACAAAGCCTGTAACACAATCTTACTAATCATAATCTTTCTTTATGAATAAAGTTATCATTTATTTTTGTATTGTTATGTCGTTTGTTGACTTACCTGCGTGTTCTGATTGCGGAGTGCCTAGCATAGCTAATACCCGCTGTGCGTTTCTATCGAGTTCTTGACGCGCGAATGCATGATCGGCTCGTTCCTCTTCTAAAAGACGATTTGCTTCAGCTAACTCAAGTTTCAATCTCTCGTTTTCTTGTTGTCGTTCATTGTTCTCCTCATTCAACCGTCTCAAGTTCTCTTGCAGGACCTGCACGTCGCTCCACGCGTCTTCCGTTTGACAACTCTTGTGCAATTTCTCAATCACTTCGGGTCCGACGATGGCGCTCGGTTGACCAGACATTGCGTTCTCGATATCTTGTCCGGTCAAGCCAGTCTGCGCGCTGGTCTCATGATAGATACGAGTCTTTTCGACAGTTCTTTGTCTAGGATACGGTGGTAAGCTTTTACAGGTCGAGTCTTTCCCACCGATAGCTCTTTTTTCGACGGATCTACTAAGACTAGCGTCGCGACTGCCGGGTCTACTGCTAGTCGTCTTGTCCGCTTTTTCTCCGGCTTTCGAGATCGTCAGCTTATTTCTATTTCTACGTGGCAATGTTGCGTACGTGTCCAATGCCTTATTATCTTGACCAGTAGCTTTATTATCAGATACATGGGAAGCGGTACTTTTGGCGCAGAGAACACGGGAAATCGGCAAGGATGGTATTTTTTTTCTTGTCTCCTCGGACGGCGTAGACACTGGTGTGCGCACTCCTCGCGTACTGGAAGTCGCCCTAGATCTCGAGGAATCATTTCTAACAGTCCGTCCACTACGTTGCGCGAGATCCTTGTTGATCTCTGTAGTCAGCACAGACGGTAGCGAGTCAGGCAACGCTCTCGTCCTTGTCCTCGTGACGGAGGACGAACTAGGAGTCGATGCTTGATTAGACGCAGCATTGCTATTGGATCGACTATACGTCGCTGTACCGCGGCTACTAACAGGCGTCTTGGTGATCTCCGCAACGAGCGATTCACGGACAGTCAATTTCTCTTTTGATCGTGGACGGTCTCGTTCCCGCTCTCTGCTCACGCTTTGCGTCTTAGTCAAGATATTTCTAGGAGTCGCCGTTCGTGATTTGGATCGTGGTGTCGTACTTAGATTCACACCAGATGTTGTAACCGTTGGTTTCGCACGAGCACTCTTCTGCGAAGTCTCAGTAGTGCTCGAAGCTTTTTTCTTAGTCGTGCTGGAAGTGGCCGTAGTTCTCTTTACGTTCATACGACTCGTTCGTATAGATACGCTGCCAGCGATGGACGAGCTCTCGCTGCCGCCCTCGCTCGTGCCTTCTCCTCCAGTGGCACCTAATCGCACGTCATCCGGCAGCGTAGATCCACATGGATCCTCATATACCGAGCAACAACTAACAAGACTAGAATCGCAAGAAGCCTCGTCCAAGCCACCGCAACTACTCGCATAATCGATACTATTCCTACTGCGTACCTGTAAGAAAAATTGATCCAGGTAAATAACCGCTTGTATCATGGAAATCAGTAGAAACAATTTTATTTTCAAGTATGTGTGTGATAAAAAATTTGAAAAAAAATTCCTTATAAACAAGAGACATTAAAGCTTCTTACTCTTGGAACTTCTGTCGCGCAACCCTCGACTCCGCTATCGCTACCATCCTTGCTGTCCTTATTCTCAGCCAGTGACTTCTCGGTCGTTTTTCCATTCTGTGACTCGGTGATATGGATCACCGTGATGTTACATTCGCTGTTCATAGTGAGATCCAGATCTTCCTCTCTGGTGAGTGGCTGAGCCTCATCGTTGATAGGCGATGCGAGATCTTCCGGTACACCCGAATCCTGTCGTGCCACGTTCTGCATCGTCGAGGATACCTTCAGACAATTTTCAGACTCGAGGCACGGGCTCTCCATTGTCACGATATTGAGCGAATTACTCATTTCGATCTTGTCATCTTGCCACTGAAAAATACGATTGAATGTAGAAAAAAAAAGTAGCAACTCTAAACATAATTGCGCAATAAAGAACCAATCTTTTTATTTTTATATTGCAATACAGGCTTTATGATTGATATTTGAAAATAAATCTTTTTCTATAAAAATATTTATTTTATTCTATTTTACAATTAAATAAAAAATAAAAATATAGATGTATAGATATAGTTGAGATGACAGCTATATTTTCAGCTTCCATAAATCTAACTCTCTCGCCTTTTATTTGATATTCCAGCTAAGGGGATTCGAGCCGAGGGAAGCAAGCTAACGTGAAATGAGCTTTTTAGAAGAATTATTTTATAAAAATATTTTTTTAAAACTCATAGTTGAGAAGAATCATATCTCAAATCAACAGTTTACGTAATGGACCGGCTGTATACAGGAGCAATTATAGTTCATACGATGCCGAGTCGATAAAGCCATTTCATTCCGGAATCAAATTATGGCATCCCAATCACAGTCATATTGAATTAGTCGAATGACATGCACGTCTCACCCAAAGGAAGTTATTTCGGATGAATTCCGGACACATACAGGTCCCATACACGTTTTTCCAAATTATACGGAAACCAGATAAATCTTATTAACTAATAATTTAGTAAACAAAACAACAGACAAACGCCAAGTCAAAGACTTAATTATTCTTGCCCTTATATTGTATATTGTATTTTATTCTGTATTGTATTTATACTTTTAATAATTTAATTTTTTCTGTATTTTTAAAATTTATTTTTTTCTGTATTGTATTTATATTCTTAATAATTTAATTTTTTAGTAAAAAGATTTTTTACTAGCTTTGCTTATAAAATGCGCGAAAGTTTGAGTTTAGAAATAGTATAATGTAACAAAAAAAAAATTTAATTTTAGATTAATATAAGATAATAATCTAGTTATTATCCTTACGGAAAATCTTCTTTTGTTACACTCAACAATTCAGGGCTTTCTCTTATCAGTTTATCTTTGCTCTTTCTTGACATTTCCGACGCACCTATATATAAAGCTGATAAAAAAAACACGCGATCACGCAAACAGGAACATGGAGGTGATTCCCCTCGGGTGTGTATCTGTATGGGCATACAATGTGGCTAATATCTTGATAGATTAATCGTGTAGCTGCTGTTAAACTATGCTATGTATTAAGTCATGAAATTACTTTCCAATTATGTATCGGATGATGTAGCATATTTCACACATGAATCGCGATTTACGAGGAGCATGGAGTAATCGGATGACAATTGGCTTACATGCATAATAAAAATGTATAGCTAAATATATTTGAAAATCTCGCGAGAGAGAGTTTATCTTCTATCATGAACTTTTGCTCGAGAAAAATAAGATTCCATGTACGTCTTTCCAAACGAACATTCTATTTTAAACTTTCGGCATGCATATTTTGGCGCTTCTCCTCGGCTGCATAGTGCGAATCTGCAGTATATACACGCACAGAGAGCTAATGCTATTTAAAAATCTCATGGAGGTCCTACGTAGCATCCACTTTTGCATTCTGAATATTATTTTTTTATTGTATTATAAATATATTCTTTAGCTAAAAAGATTCGGAAAAGAAAATAAAATTGTTCAATTTATATTTTCTCTTTAGAAATATCTTTATATTATTTCTTTTAATAGATTTAATAATTAATAAGATGTAATTAGAAAAGAAAATATTTGCATATAATGGTAACTTTGAAATAATAATAAATAAAATTGTAAAGTTTAGCAACGATTGGATTTTTGAAAATTCAAAGATTTGAGAACTTGGTTTATTATATCAGTGAATTTTCTTCTCAGACTTTGAGTCGGCAAATGAATTTAGCCTTCGCTTGACCGTGATGGATGACGGTGAAAAAACGGTGTTGAATTAGAAAGAGAGAGAGAGAAAAAAAGGAGCAGACTCGTATATAACTAAAAAAGAGAATATGGTTTCTTTTTACAACGCTAAATGTTTTTTTTTTCAGTTCTGTACTAAATTTGCATTATTCTATATCTATATTTTCAACATGTAGATTTAATTGTGCAGAATATTTTTTCTTTAATGTATCATTGCAGATGTTTTGACTGACTTTTAAAAATAAAAATGTCATAATATCTATTTTGAATAATTACTATTAAAAATAAGATATGTAAAGATTTCTGAATTTTAAAAATAGAATAAAATAGAAAATGCATGTTACATATTTTAACAATAAGATAAATATAATATTATGTAATATTGTAAAAGATATCAAGCATATAGATAAAAATTGATAAAGAAGAAGAAATAAATGAGATAAACTATATTTTACAATTAAAAAAAAATTTGCAATTTTCTAAATTTTTAATATAATTCTAGCTTAAAATTCATTTTCACATATATGCAATGTTAAAAATTCAAAAAGAATAATAAATGCAGTTAAACTATGCTATGGCTATGAATTGTAATTAACAATTTAACATCAATTTTCAATTCAACTAGTTTTCTCCAAGTCTGAATTTATTGAAAAATACAGAATAAAAAATAAAAGAATAAGGCAACATTTTCGCATAAATCTCTTCAATGTATCCCGATGCGTAATCTAATCTTGACACATTTGTGACGTGTGAATGTCAAAAATAATTCGTAGGCACCGCAACTTCTAGTTACAAGTCTGTGAACGAATTCGCTGGAACATCTCGTGGGAGTCCCCTGAGGAGCGATGATAGCCGGGACCGATTACTCGGTGAAGAACCCGTCGCCACCACCGCCGACCATATGCGTTCGTTATTACGCGGCCACCGCGTAGGCATCGGACTCGTGTCACGTTCGTCGTAACGTAAACAACTCGTATACACATACGACCGTTTCTCTCCAGCTGATATACATTCGTTCTAAAACGCGAGATATATTTTTTACATCTTCGTCACGAGGGATCGAAGCGACAGAGGAAATCGACAGAGAAAAAGCTTGATTAATAGCACATTATAACAATTCATCCAATAACGTTGGATAATAATTCGTGATAACTATTGTACTTATCGTGACAGAGTGGAATTTTCTATTGGTGACAATTCGCTAGTTCCGATGACGATCTCTCGCGTGGATGATCAACTGGAGTTGAAGAGAAAGGAACACAAGAACAGAAGCGGTTCCATGAGACGAGAGGATCTTCCCAACGAAGACGACGGTATCGAGCGATTCTACGGTGACGGACTCGTCGTCAGGATGCACTCGAATCATCGCATGCTGGAAATCACGGGCGATGGTTGCCGGATCATTCTGTCGAAAAATTCCGGCAGCGTACACATCATTGGCGATGGCTGCATATTGCGTGTAAAACACAACGTGGGCGATATCGAATATACCGGTGACGGTGGTCGTGTCCTCCTTGGTCCGGACTCTTCCAGAGAGAAGGTAAAATTCGTGGGCGACGGTGGGAAGGTGATTTTCGATTCGAGAATGAAATCGGAAGGATTCTCAGGAGAGCGAAACAGGGAAGAAACCGATGACGTAGAACAAGTCACGTTTTCGTTTAAAAAAATTATCAGGAAGACACCGAAATGCGAGAAGCACGAAAATGCTGATAGATCATCGAATCGGGAAGAGTTCGATAACATCGCGAACGATGTGAAAGAAAAGAGTCGAGGGAAGCACGAGAAGCGCAACGAGGAAATACGGAAATCCATGAGGCATCCAACCGTTACGAAGATCATCACGAAGATCCAAAGCGATGGTCAATGCGTGAGGAAACGCTCTGACGATTCTTCGTTGATCATTAATTCCCACGGTGATGAACGTTCCGTAATGAAAAATCTATCGAGAACTTTGGGCACGAATATCAAGATGAAATAATATAATCGAAACTTTTAAGAAATGTTACTTAAAATATGTGTGTATTCTGTTCCTCAAGAAAATTGAACAATCAAACGCAATCAAGATTTGCATACACAATTGATTGCAAGTTCCTCTTTTCCAAAGTATAAACTGCCAGTAGTTGTATTAATTAATTTGAGAGAGAGAGAGAGAGAGAGAGAGAGAGAGAAAGAAAGAGAAAATTATTATATTAATTATTATTAAATATTAAACAAAAATTGTTGAAGTTTTATTAATTATTATTATTATTATTTACTATTATTATTCTAATTTTTTAAATATTTTTAAGTAATAAATTTCTTCCGACACCGATATGCCGATAATTTTGATAATTTACAGTGAATTTTTCTTTTATCGCAAAACTGTTTTAAGACCGTTTCATCTCTTGAATTCAGTCTATCAGAACGAAATAATCTTAAAAATTCGATTTAGTGAATAAAGATACATCAAAATATCGATTGATCCATTGTAGACTAACGCATCTTAGCACATTTTATGTTGCTACGTACAAAATAAAGATGGAAACAGCGATGAGAGTAAACATAGAGTCGATTTATATTTAGACAAGAATAAAGCTAGGCGTTCCTCAGGAACGTGTGATCAATAGATAGGATATATCAGTTGTCAATTATTCCTAGCAACCATATAAAATCAATAGTTCGACAAATTATATACATTCTAGGATATGGATATAAAATTATGACGATCGATCTGAATTGGATTGATCACAGATAAAAGCTTATCTCAGCATCTATATCTCAAACATATAAGAACAAAGTTAAATTCCTGATTTAATTTGATCAGTTATAATTTCTTTCTTTTTATTTATTAAAATTTAATTCTTATATACAGTTTCTTTGTGTGGAGAAAGCTAAATAAAAGATGCTACATAGACTACTTTATTATTTTTTTTTCTTCGAAATGAATTTTGAATTTATATAGTTTTTCATTGTTTCTTTTTGGTACAACATTTTAGTATAGAATCAAATATAAGATCAGTACTTGGTGTATGTGTGTGTGACAACCTCAATATAAACTACAGCCACTGCAACGAGATACAACAGTTACCGAGATATTTCAGTAAATAGGCGGCGGTCATATGGGGCGGCTGTGCGAGAAAGATAATTCTATTTATGAACGACAGTAATTCTTAGCATATCCGAATATCACAGAAAGCGCAGAGATTAATCCGTCAACTTACTGAAATTTTTTTCTTAAGTTTTACAGTATTACTTTAACATTTCAATATATCTATGTTGAAAATTCCTATCCATTATTCTGAATATTTTTTATAGAAACACATACATACATTTCTTTAGATTATTATTAGATTATTATTAGATTATTATTAGATTATAATTATATTATATTTTAGTTATTATTAGATTATTATATAAATATTATTTCCTAAATTAACATATTCCCTTTTGTATTTTAAATACACACACACATACACTATGTGTATATATGTTTAAATATATATAAATATTTTTTGTAATTTCGATGTACGCCACTTTGATTTTATATCTTAATTACATGGAAAAAGATTCTTTATTGACGAAAAATAAAAATGGATATTATCGACAAGTCTCGGCCAATTGGAGTGCAATGTTATTGCTCGCATTGCATGTCAAAGGAATCATTAAGCATCGCTCGTGAAAGTAAAGAAAGGTGAGAAACATTCCATTTCTTCTTTTTCTTCTTTCGAACAAAATTCAGATTCAATTTGGATATCTCTTTCTCTCTCTTTCTCTTTTCTTCGAAGTCCATTCCATGTGGATATATTTATCGTCTGTTTGCTAAAATAATTCCAACTTGACCCAAGCAAGTCTTATCCAGCGTATTTGCATTCGCTAGGTATTGTGAATTCGCTTCTTCGAATACATTAATATGTACATATATTATATATCAAATATCAATTTATACCTAGTCAATTTATTCTTTTTTTATATTGTATTGATTAATAAACTAATAAATTTTCTCTTCTTCTACTAAAAAAGTGTCTCAATTTTTTCGTTACTATAAAGAAAAATATATGTACGTGAGAATTTTCGATTTAAGAGACCCTTTATTAAAGAATTAAAAAAAGATAATCTCGAAGAATTTCATAATTCACATCCTTATCTTTCCAAGCGATGTTTCAGCGAACAATAATAATGGAAAATGACATTCACATTATATTTCGACCGCTGTGATACATAAACATATCAAACATCTGTACGATAATCGCGTGAAATTACCGTATACGTATCATGGAAACTGCTCTGGCAGCAAAATTGCGTGAAAGTTTAAAGCTATTCGCTAATTGACCGAATTAATTATCGAGTAAGAAATCCTCGTCACCGCGAACGGACCTAGACTAATTAACAAATTAATAAGCGAGCGGAAGCGCGCGATCGCATCTCGTATAACAGCTATAAACGCCAGACTCATTCACGCTTTCCTCAATTATACATGTATTCCTTAACGCGGTTTTCCTTCGCACGTTCGCGAAAGTATAAGATACGATTTTATTCCACATCACGAGATATATTTTACCGAGCGATACCGGGAGAGCTTACAGCTCTCTAGTCGCGGCTCGGACTTTTATAATCGTCGTTATTAATTTTTTACCGCTCGCCTTTGTGCGAGATTCCGTAAGATTTCTTTTGTAAACGATCTTACGTCAAAAATGACAAATAAGCCGGGCCACTTTCTAGTTAAATTGTGCAGGCCGCGTTCTCACACAAGTGATGAATTTGAAAGATAACATCGAGAGTTATAGTACGAAAGTTATTGTTCACAATTAACTTTCGTAACGTAGGACGTGAGAGAGATGAAAGGGGTCGATTTAAACAGCTAAGAAAGCTTTCAGCATGCTCGCATCTCTCTCTATCGACGACATCTGCTAAAAATATTTTATTATATCGGTCAGCACATGATTTGCATTAACTATGAGTTAGAAGTTATAAAACAAGAATCGAGTTGCATAATTTATCAAGTCTATCTTGGATATGTCACTTGTAAAATCGAACAATTGCAAATCAAATTTATAAATGCGATTTATTTTTTCCAATTTCCTCGAATTTTTTATGTAAATCGTAAAAGCATGAAATGATAGAAGCGATAACTGTCATATATTATCGGCACGCTTATCCAACTGTCATTCAAAGCTACTCAAAAATGAAAAAAGCAGACAACTAGTGGGAAGCATACGTAATGTTTTTATAATAAAATAATTTAACTATATATATATTAAATTGTCATATTTGCAGATTCATATATAATTTGACTGTAGTTAAGATGCATGATTATTAATTTGGTCTTCAGTCTTTCCCGAATAAAACATAAACATGCAAATTTTTTGCGAATTAATATTATACGATTTAACGATCGTCTTAGTCATAAACAAGATACTAATGATACGGCATAAATTATAAATATATCAGTTTTGACTGCCTTTTTTACTTTCTCTTTCTGTATTTAAAATCAAATTAGTATCCTGTATTTAGATAGGAAAGAAGAAAAATATAAGGAAACAGATAATATAAGAAGAAGACTGATGAGAAGAGATATTACTGTTTCTTTTCTTTCTCAAAAAAGGCTAATAATCAATCTATCTATTAAGGAAAAAATAGACAATTAATTCTGAAGCACTGGCGCATGTCTTCGTGACGCTAATGACGCAGGATGTACGCAACATATCAGTCATTATAATGAATATCGAAAACTATATATATATATATATATATATATATATATATATATATATATATATATATATATATATTTACATTATTGACGTTTCCATACATAACATCCGACGTGTCTCGTGACAGCTTTTACGATAATAACTTTAACGAAAGCTCGAGAGATCCTGGCGACCCAGGGGATTTAAGTGAATTTCTTTCCAAGGGTGACATAAGAAGCCAACGCGACGATCATCGTCGAAGTCATAACCTCCCGCGGAAGGGTGGATCCGATCGTCGAGGGCAGGAGCGAGTCCAAACACAGGGAGAGATCGATAAGCGCGGGTGGGAAAGAAATGGATCGCTTACCTCGAACTCGCCGGTGTATGTGTGCGTATGGGATAATAACTGATCCCGGATAACGTTAATTATCCCGGGAGATCGACCAAGGGCCTCCTCGGCTTATCTCGTTGTCCGTTAAAATGTCTGCAGTCCGGTGAAAATGGAACGATCACGGAGCGAGAGTTTACCGAGCGTAGTCACGTATATCAACATCCGGCGAGAGCGAACGTCCGATTTCAAATCGAGTTCGATTGCTCTCGGGATGTACGCGTGTTATATACACTCGGCCTGTTTTCTTCTCGCTGTTTTCTTCTCTTTTTACCCAGGTCGCGCGTGCACGTACGAATTTCTGGAATCGCGAAATGGTGATGCCCAACAGGATGCCATCAGCTGCTGCTTCCGGACGGTACGAAACAATCCGAATTAATCCGAACGAGCGGTAAATGCACGACCGACAAGCACAGACGACGGAGGAGGAATAACGCGGGATGCCGCGACGATGACGGTCTGAAGGTAGGCACGATGAGGCCTTTTCTCTGAAGGAGGTTTCCAGTGCTTTCCAGCCAGCCAGCGACAGCTAGCGAGATAGCAACGATGTGTGTTGCCGATAATCGTGAAAGATATCTGCTGCAGATAACGAAGTCTTTATTGAGATCGTTTTGAAAAAGAATCTGGAAAAAATACAAATTATAAGCAGTCAATTTTAAAGAAATGCTCCAGAATAGCAGCAAGCTTTTGACATTGTTTATCTTTAACTCCCATCTAGTGAATCCTCGCTCATCTTGACATAAATCTTGACAAAAAATTCTTTGTTTAGGCTTATTTATATATAAGAAATTTATATTTTTTTTACAAAAATTGTCTGTAATTTTTGGATATTGCATGTAATTAGAAAGTATTCCTTAATGTATAAAAAGCGTTATTTTAGAATGATTGATGAAAAGTTATCACATCTATATTTATAAATAAATTCACTAATTTTTATGTACATAGATTTGTACAAGAAATTTTTTTTTACGACGCGATCGTATAATTTTATTTATAAAAAAAAATACAAGAAGGGGAGAAGTTATTACATATACATAAAAATTACTAATCTTATTTCTGATATATAAATAATGGTGGAAATATGTACTGTGAATCAGTTAAAATGTTAATATTTCATGAACTATTGAGAAAGATTTTATCTATGAAATAACTAATTTTTACTTAAAGTCTTTCATAGCAGGTGTCATAGTTGTCAGAATCGTTTCCATTTCCTTTCTCTCAGTTTCTGTTCGCAATTTTGACCAGATTTCTTCCAATTTTCCTTCTTGATGTTTCTAAAAAAATATGATGTTTATAAAGAATGTTTTTTTAACTGTACATACACAAAATAGTCAAAGCATATATTGTATTTTTACCCTGATAAAAAGAAAACAATGTTTCATAGTCGCCCCCATATATAGGATATTCAGTTTAACGAATCGTCCACCTACATCATTTATTAATGGGATAGCCTGCAGTACAAGTTTGTGAGGCCCGTGTCTAATCCTTACCAGTGCTATTTTTGTTTGTGTGTTGCAATATTTTGCTGCGACAGAAAATAAGGAAATAATAATTATATATCTTTTATTCTTATATGCACAATAGATAGGATTTACTTGAGAGATTATTATTATATCAAACAATTAATACCATCAAAACCATCTTTTATCGCTGCTACCCCAAAATCACCATACAACTGTTGAACTTTTTGTTGAACTGCATAAGAGAGAGCTGTATTTTTCAACATTAATTGCTTATCACTTTTGCTATGTGGAACTATTTCAAGAACAATGTACCTAAAAAGAGAAATAATAAAGAAATAATAAAAAAGAAATAAATCTTTTAAATATAAGAAATCTATTTTTTATTAAATGTGGGAATTCTCTGTGGAAGATTATGTGAATTACCTATTTTTGAACCGAACCATGTTTTAGGTTACTTTACACAACTTTCTTTCTTATCTGAAATCAAAAAAATGGCTTATGTTGCAATGATTATGCAATGATTTTATGTTTCAAAATATATAGCAGACGAATTCACACAATCGAATCGACACGTGTCGTGTACAGTCGTGTATTTCACAAAGTCAGGTATGGCTAGATCGTGTTGGTATCAAGCGTACAACTTGGTACGAAACACGTGTATACGTGTACATATATGCGTGCATGCATATGACGTGCATAAAAAAATATGGAACGATTTTGTGCAATTTACATGATTTATTCTTGCCTATCACGTATCGATTTTTTACATATTTTTTATTGCAATTTAAGTGATCTTATAATGTTGCTACTGCGATGTCGATTAAAATAATTTTTACTAAATATGCACAGAATTTCTTATACAAATACATATAAGCATTGTAAATGTTATAATAGACAATGTTACAACAGAAGTGTCATTTAACTATAAAATCAAGGTAATTTACAACAATACAAATATTTCTACAGGTTTCTGTATGATACCATAAGTGATGAGATAACGTGTTATCTAATAATTCTTGTTCCTAATGACTTTCTTATTTAAAATATGTGCATGTATTATACATGCATATACATTTTATATCGTATTGTGCTTGTAAATTTATCTTTAAAGCTACTATTAATTTGTAGAAAATCAGGAGAAAATTATATAGACTTTGTGATTATCAATATGATGTTTGTATATGTGTTGCTGGATTAAAGAATTATTAACTGATAACATTACAGCTCTCAAGTTTTTATTTATGCTGTGTATCTCCAGAATTAATGTTATCTCAGGGTCATGCCATCTTAGAATATATGCCAACGATTAATGCACACACTATGGTTGGCTGATAATTGTATTATTTTTCTCTTACAGCTCATGCCTAAGCTCAACACGGCTTAGTTGACTTTACTTCACGTAAGACTGTGGATGCCTGTCGACACTGTGGCAATCATGGATTTTTTTGTTGGTGTAGATGTGGGAACAGGAAGTGTTCGAGCAGCTCTAGTTACCTTGAATGGTAAGATAAAGAAGGTGGCTACATGTCCACTTGAAATATTTCATCCTGCTCCAAACTTCTATGAACAATCCTCTGATAACATTTGGAGCGCTGTATGCCATGTTGTCAAGGTAAAATAAGATTTACTGTATAACTATAGAGCTACTACTATAATAGTAAAATTATATCAAGTTAATCTTAATTAAATTACAACTTTTATCTTATTCATAGTCGGTTGTTGCCGAAATTTCCGCGGAAGACATTAAAGGAATTGGCTTTGATGCTACATGCTCATTGGTGGCAATAGATAAAACAGGATCACCAGTAACAATCAGTCTTTCAGGTATAAAGAAAAGAACAGGAAATATTCCTTATCTTAGTTTTATAAAAAGTTGTAGCAAAGTTATATAATCAAAATATATAAGCATTAATATAATGTAGTAAACTGATCAAATTATATTAATTCAGGACAGGAGAAACAAAATGTCATATTATGGATGGATCACAGAGCGCATGAAGAAGCTGATTTCATCAATTCTACAGGTCATGAAATATTGCAATATGTAGGTGGCAAAGTTTCTCTTGAAATGCAAACACCAAAAATGTTGTGGCTCAAAAAGAATTTACCTGCTTCTTGGAACTCTGCAGCATTGTTGTTTGATTTACCAGATTTTTTAACATGGAAAGCCACTGAATCAGAATCCCGGTATAAATTTTTGTCTAAATTCTTTAATCAGAGCTGTTGAAATAATTGAATAATTCTCTTATTTTTATTCTATTAGATCGTTATGTTCGTTAGTGTGCAAGTGGAACTATAGTGCCAATCCCAATGGTAAGAACGAATGGAACGAGGACTTCTTTGAGCAACTTAATTTACGGGATCTGAAAAAAGACAATTGGAGAAAAATAGGTACATCATATTATATTAATATCAACAATTATGTAATATCAAAAATGTTTTATCTAATTTTAATAAGATAAGAAAGAAGTTAATTATAAAAAGATATGTACAATTTTTTGTATGAACAATAATTAACATTTGTGCTAGGCAATTTCAATATTAAAAATAATTGGGATATTGTGTAGATATATAAACTTTATATGAATAATTTCTTATTTCACTTTAATAAGAGCAGATATATTAATGTCAAGGTAATGATGTAAGAGTGCCTGGTGATGCGATTGAGCCTGGATTGTCGGCGAAAGCTGCGACAGAATTGGGATTATTGAAAGGTACACCAGTTGGAACATCGCTGATCGATGCACATGCTGGTGGTCTCGGTATGATCGGTTGTTATGCGCCGGATGTATCTTCAAATTTTTCCAATCGATTAGGTACGAAATATCATCAATGATACGTAATACGTTTATCCCCCCAAAAATTAACAAATTATCTTATAATTTTTAGCTTTGATTTGCGGTACTTCGACATGTCATATGATAGTGAATGAGAATAAGATATTTGTAAATGGTGTTTGGGGTCCGTACTATAGTGCGATGGTGCCCGGTTTTTGGCTTAATGAAGGAGGTCAAAGTGCTACCGGAAAGCTATTGGATCATGTTATCGATACACATCCCGCGACACCAGGAATTCTAAAATCTTTAGGCGGAAATAAGTGAGTTTATTGAAATATATATGAATAAATATACGATACGATGAAAATGCTTTCACTTCAGACATATTCAACAATATCTGTCCGAATTATTGCACGTTATGGCTGAACAAAAAAATCTGCAAAACGTATCTTACTTGACAAAAGATATACATGTGTGGCCAGATTTTCATGGTAATCGTTCGCCTCTTGCTGATCCAACTCTGAAAGGAATGGTATTGACACATACATTGCATTTTTGTTATCTTTGCATGCCTTGATGGATACAGCTTTATACTATTACTGACATTATTTCATAGATATCTGGATTATCCTTATCTGTAGATCAAGAAAACTTAGCTTTATTATACTTAGCAGCATTACAGGCATTAACGGTATGTTACAAATTCAAAAATAATTTTAATTAATTGAAAATTGCCATAAGATAAATAATTTTATATTTAAATTACAATATTTTGTCTTTATTTTTTTTTATAAATAAAAAAATTATTTTTTCGAAAAATATTAATATATTTAATGCACGGAAAGCTTAATCAAGATTATTTAATATCAAAAAACAAGTATTTTATTTATAATAAAGTTTTGATCTTTAACGCATTAACAAATATGAAAATTGATAATTTAAGCTATTCATATTTTGATTATTATAACAGAGATATGTTAATTTTTATAATAGTATGGTACAAAACATATTATTGAAACCTTGACGGCTGCTGGTCATAATATCGAGACCATATTAGTTTGCGGTGGACTTAGTCAAAACCCACTTTTTATTCAAATACAAGCTGATGTATTGGCATTACCAGTACTTTGTCCTGTGGAACGGGAATCAGTTTTATTGGGTTCGGCAATTCTCGGTGCATGTGCTACAAAAAAATATTCTTTCCACGAAACTATCAAAAGAATGGCAGGAGTGTCCAATATAGTAAAGCCGACGAGTGAATGTTATAAGTAAGTATATATGACAATACAAAATTATACAGAATAATCTAAAATATTGAATTTATATTTATTTAATTTTGATAAATAGAGAAAAGAAAAGAAACTGTTTTATCAAAATTATGAAGAAAAATATTCTTATTGCTATGTAAAATTTATTATTATCATTTATTGCATATCACTTGTTATATATCTATTTGTAATTATTTCAGATATCATCTTCGGAAGTATCGTGTATTTAAGAAAATGGTCCAAGATCAACGAGACTATAGAACATTAATGAGCGAAGAATTATAATCTATTTTTTTCAATCTTTTAGCCTAAATGAATAATGATAATTGTAATAATAGGCTGTGTTCGATTTCAAATGACCGACTTGTGGAAATGGAAATTGAAATGAAGACAAATATTTGATAAATTTTTGGAAAGAATCTCTATTACAATTAGAATGCAAATATTGCACAAATGAAATGGATTTATTGCTGTTGTAAAATTTTAAAAATTTTATTTGAAAGCATTGTAAGAGATTTGAAGCATTTGGAAAGAGATGATACTTCACTAGACTATCAATATTGCATACAAAGTATCATCTCCATTTGTATTTTCATTTAGCATGTCAAATTAATTAAAGATGCTTATTGTGATGTTAATAATGCTGCACACAAATCACATGTACTATTATTGATGATTCATACTAGTGCTATTATTCTGATGTAATGGCGTTTTAACTTGATAAGAAACTTTGTGACAACAAGCATTTTCTGTAGTCGAGCTAATTTTATGATTGAAGGAAAAAACAATACTTCTATCGCTATATATATTTTTACATTCATTTACTTTTAGGTATATCTTGTAATATAAAAATAGAAAAATACAATGGGAATTTTCTTTTATATGGACAAATTATTATACAAGTTGTTATTTTTATACACAACTATCGTAAACTATCTGTATTGTACTTTATATTATATATGTAAATTTTTTTTAGTTACAAATTATATAATTATATATATATGTATATATATATGTATATATACTTTTCTTAAGACTTTTCTTAAGATTAGTTATTTTTATAAGTTATTTCTTGGCTTTTGAAGTAACTTATTGGCATTCATTTAATGACATTAATACCGTTATCAGTTCCGGCATGACATTATTGATAAAGCAATATCAGAAAAAAAAGTAGCTCTTCTGACTGAAGATATAAGATGATATAAAAATGGATTATCGTTACATTACCATGTAATTTTATTAAAATTTTTAAAATTATATAGTAAAATATTAACGCACACATGACATTATACGTTTTTCGCGCACATGCGTAAATACATTTTAAAGTAATAACTGTTCTCTCTCTTTAAATAAATATATTAAGAAGATAATCTTTATCAAGTATAATATATATTGTTTATTATGTTATATTATGTCAAATATGAATTGTCGTATTTAATTAATTCACCGTTTTGATTATTTCCAATTGCTTTTATAATGAAAAATATCTTGAATTTTATTTCTAGGTTAATTTATTACTGTGACCTGTGACCGTCTGCTGCGTTGATAGTATCGATACTTCGATACTTCGAGAATTGCAATATCGCATTTCGATAGATCGTCTTTTGAACCTTAGTTCACCATGAAACGCATCGCGTCAAGAATTGCATTCAAGCCGCTCTGCATTTTTCATATCATTGTTATCGTGTAAAAGTGTTTTGTGCGCGAAAATTATCAGAACAATTTCAAAAAGTGCTTAATCGTAACGTAAACATCATGCAGTCATTATATATCGCGTATCATCCACTTCTACATGCGTGCCCCGAATACGACATCGAAATCCTCTTCACGTCGATATTTTTGCATAACGAAAATGTTACGAATATACGATTATTGTCAGGTATGTATGTACGTGTTATTTATCAAGATTTTAATAATATGCAATGAAGCCGAAAATAAACAGAAGAAAAAAATTCTCTATTACAAATTTTTCTTAATAATAACATAATAATAACAATAATAATATAAATAATAATATAAATGGAAAAAACCATAGAATATACATATATGTATTAACAAGACATACTCTATATATATATATATATATATATATATATATATATATATATAGTTACTAATGTTATCTTATTTATTAAATTAATCTAATAGTATATATATAAAGAAAAATTAAGAGCGAAAATATATATATATATATATATATATATATAAATTATTTAATTAGTTATTTAACTAATGATTTATTACTAGAAGATGTATCAAATTTAAAATATGGATTAGGGATAAAAAGATCACAGTGATATGGTCTTGATATATCGACATAATTTAATTCTCAATAAAAATTAAATGTTTTTAACATAACGCTTGCTAATCTAATTAATAAACTATAAAGAAATTTGAATATATTTGTATAAAATTGATCGTTGGAAGAATCACAGCTATTTTTGAACATTTTATACAGCATTATATACATATGTTCTACATGTCAAACCATCCGTATATTTAAAACATGATATGAAATACTTATACTGTATACTTTGTATTGACAGCCCTGTGGTACAATTTGAGCAAAAGCACTGTGCTTTACTATTATATTATCGTTCGTCGTTCGCTTGAATGTGAATCATATCTCTAAATGTTGCCTACTTTCGTTCTTACGTACTAGATAAATAATTCTGTAATCTTCGTCGACGGTCGTTGAATAGATTATATCAATTATTATTCTTCTTCGCACATACAAAACATAAATATATTGCAACCTAATTTCTTAAACTTATGGAATAATTTACTATATAAAATATTTGCTTTCTTATATATCTTAAATAACTTTTTAATTTTCGAATTCGATTTATAATTCATTCTGACCTCGTTAAATTTATACAAATTTTGATTTATACAGAAATCATGAAATGCAAAAATTAAAAATAGATTTATTTTTGACTAGTTGAAATTAATATTAGAGATAAATCCAATGTTTGTTAAAAAAAGAATATTGGCTCCGATTTGAAAGAATCTGTCCTTATTCACGCTTATATTTTGCGTTGCATGATTAATCTTCAGGTCATAATTTCATCTATATATATCGGAAATTTTTTATATGATTATTCTAGAATTTTTGCTAATAATATTGACTAGGTTTTAATACTTAGAAACTAATTAATCTTAGTATTGTTTTTACTTATTCGTTATTATATACATTAGACGTATATTGAAAAGAAATAGGCAAATTATTATTTAGGGCGAATAAACTATGAAATAACTGAAATTAATGTAGCATCAAAAAGTAGATTAAAAATTATAATTTTTTTTAATACAAAAAACTTTATTGGCATTTCACATATATAATTAGATTAATTTTGTATCATGTGGAATAAAAAATTTTGTTTCTATTAAACTTAAATTGTTTTAAATTTGAAAATACGATACGATGATTACTCGACAAATTTTTGCAACAATTTTTTTTTAAATATATTCGAATGAGATAGCACACGTATGAATTTTTAAACAATTTTTTTATCACTTCGCTTTAATTATTGCACAATTATTTTAATCACATTTGCTGTTTTATCACATCTAACAATAAGCTAAAATGTAAAAAATATGTTAATATTGCACTATTATTTTATCTACAGAATAACTTAAATTAAAAAGCTAAAAATGGATAATAAAGAAAAGCAATAAATAATTTACTGTTTGCACTTTAACTTTCTACTTGAGATATATAATTATATCAATTTTATCTAAATCAGAAAATATAATTAATTATATTACGAACTAACTATGTGTAATTTCTCTCATTTTCGCAATCATTATTTATATACATATTTATATAAATTTTATATCTCTTCATTGTATATATGGAAGTATCTCAGATATGATTCTTAGATATTGATGATTATGTATAATTATTGTAATATATAATAATATTATAATTATAATAAATGTAGGAAATATAGATATGTGGCGGTTTTTCGTAAAGACTTTCGGACGGGAACCGTATACTGCTCATAATTTTAAAAGATAGCATATATAACAATTTTTGTTCTCCGTTATTTTTAATAATATAATGTAAATCTAGTATACTTAGGAGAACTTCGTGTTTACACATTGCAACTCAATCTTATTAACATAAATGCTTGAATCTAGACATAAACTATTTTACAATAATAAGCAAAAAATTTTTGTTATTTTTAAGAATAATTCTTATAAAAAAATTTCTATAGATTATTTCGATAATTAATATTAAATCAAGAAAGAGATTTTAGAGAGATTTAAGGGAAAGAAAAAAAATTTGAAGAAAAATTTTGTGCAAATATAAATTAATCGCGCGTTCTGATATGATTTTTATCAGAGATAAGATAAATTCAAGTGTGACAAATACTGTAAATATTTGAGATATATAATGCAAATTGACTCCGTTTCTTGTTTACGATATGTATGTATACGATAATGTGAATTTTTAATACCAGCCGAAATCCATACCCGCCAATTGATAGAAGTGCTGATTGAATGGCCGATAAAAATCTCGTAAACGTTGAATTGCCATGGGATCGATATAGGGATGACTACGTCCTTTGTTCTTTCCTAAAATATGTATTTTATAGTATCTTAATTAGTATCAAATATTACACAATTTTTATAGTATTCTGTGTAAACAAAAAATTTTACTTAAAGAAATTACGAAAAATTGTTTTTTTTTCCCAGAAAAGTAATATATATATATATATATCAAATTTGAAAGTATAAACAGCATTTTAATTATTATAATTATTTTTGCAAAAAAAGATTTTTACTTTTATAAATAATTGCAATAACAATAAGGTATATTGTTCTCGTGAGAACTTTATCTTTTAATTAATTTCTTTTCTGAAATGAACTTTCTCAATTCTTACCGAGACAGTGGGGTGTTGCACGATCCTCTGACTTGAGCAAGCAAGGGAAACCTTTGGTGGCGTTGAAGTAAAAGTGTTTTTCGCATATCACTCGCTTCAGACCAAGGAAGTCCTGTACCCGGGTGATCTCCATCACCGGATCAGCGATCAGACGTTCGCCTGATACGAATAAGAACTGCGACAACGGGAAATACTGCAACCATCTTTCCAGATGCCGCACGTAAACCCCGATTTTCAGTGGCACCCAGGAAGTGTCCACGATCCTTGATCCGTTCAAAAAGGCCAGATCCTCGAACCGCGGCATTTTGCGGCGCTTGCTCTTCACCTGGGTATAATCGGAGATCGCCCGCGTTACAGGGTCCCTCACCACGACGATTAGTTTCATTCCCGGGTTCATGTGCTTGACCCTTTTTGGCACCTCGCTTGTCACGAAATACGACGGTGTCTTTTCCATGGTGATTTGACCGGTTAGAGTCGGGGGCATTCTGCGTCTAATATTGACAGAAACATACAGGCATTTTTATAGTACTCTCATATAGAGTATTCAGCGAATCGCGATATAAGGCAAGGAGGTAAAAACAAATTTTTTTTTAAATTTAAAAATAGTAATCTATTTTCAATTATATATGTATATATATATTTCACACGATAGTACTCTATAAAATTATAGCTATTTTTAAATTTATTACAATAAAGCTGTCTACATAAAGAAATTAATATTTACGTAGAAAGTAAAAGAAAGTATATATTATAAGTAGCAAATTATAAATTTATATTTCAAGAATTATAATTTCAAATCTTCGGTATTAAAATACAATGTTATTTCGTATACTTTATAATTTTAATTGTAAAAACAACTTATCGTACGCACCTGTACCAACGAAATCCTTTAATATAATGGTGATCAAAGAAGTGGACCTCCGAACCGGCAGCGCGAATCGCCGGATGCAATCTTAGGAATTCTAAAAGGGCTCTCGTTCCCCCTTTCTTTACCCCGATTATCAGAGCGGTCGGCAATTGTCGGCTTGGTATTAGATTTTGTTGCTTAAATGTCTGATATTTCAATATACTTCCTTTAAGTACATCGCTCGAATTCTGAAGCGACAACGATTGCACTTTCTTCGAGTTCGAATCTGTTCGATCATTCAGAGATATATCTTCGAGCTTCGATTGATCGAGACTTTGGTATAGAATATTTTTCGCGGACACGGAAATCCGCGTCTTCTGCAGACTGATTTTCTGCGATATGTCGGCTAGCATGTGCGAATGATCGACGAGGAGCATCCACAGATAGATGGCCAAGGCGCAAACGAGGATTAAGATCTTCCAAGAGCTTTTACGCAGTTCCATTTTGTGATTTTTACGAGTCGTCGTATTTTGTCGGCTTTCTGGATGCCATTATACCGTCGCAGCATCCGCTGTCTCGTTCATCGACACTGATTTGCTCGCATCGATAGTCTTCGCGATATCGTGATGTCCTATACATACATTATACACTATATGATAACGCAAGAATAATCTCTGCTCATGAATCATGCGCGAAAACGCAACTAGTGTATCCGATAGCGAGTAAAAAATCGAATATTCGATATTTGATGATATTTATATCATCCAAACTAGGACACCGAATACATATTTTTAAATAATTTTAATTGCATATCTGTTAAAAAAATAAATTGGAAAATTTATATTGTAAAGAAAAAACAGGAAATATAAACACAATGTAATTTATACAATGTAAATCAATGTAAATCATTTGTAGTTATTTTTCTATTTTAAAAAATCAGATTTAAAATAGAAAAATATTAAATATTTTTATAATTCAGTATCGCTATGATTTTATCTAGAAATAAGATATAGAATAATTTTGCGCTCCTGACTTATAATATGAAGATATAATTAAATAAATGAAATTTTATTCTTATATTTTTCAAATTTCTAAAATGTTCACCAGGATGTTCAAAAAAGATTTATCTTTGAAAATTGGTCACGAAACTATATTCTTTTAAGTCAACAATAAAATTGGAAGTCAACAGGAATATCTCTAACAGCAAAAATCTCTCTAATATAAATAATGTTTTCTTCATGTAATGAATTTTCTTTATTTTAATATTAACTAAATAATATATATTTAGTTAATAATTATTTTAATATTAACTATTTTAACTAAAATTTTATATATACACTTCTATTTGAAAATAATAATAATATAGAAAAGTAAATATTTGCATGCTTAATTTAAAAAAAGAATCCAAGAAAACGTAAGGAATAAGAGAAGATTTTTGCTGCTTCAAATTTTTTTAAAACGTTTGTCGGAAGATCCTGGAAAGCCCGAAAGGTCCGATGAATCTATCAGACCGAGTAGCTGGAGAGCAGCTATCGGGGTGTTTGAATTACACTTACCCCGGAATATCGTATCGCTGTCGGAGACACGTTAATTGTCACCCCATGCGCGTCCGTCATCGGGCAACGTGCGACTGGCGCAGCCGGTGTAAGGCTGCGGATGCGGACGCTCGCTCTCGCACGCGGAAAGTGCACATTTAGCACGTTATCAAATGCACGATCAGAGCCGTAACTAGATTACTATGGTTCCTATTATAGGCGCCATTTTCCTCTCGAGCGGCGAATCAGGCATGTTGCAATTATTATATAAAAAAGGTGCTCATTTATTACATTAGGTGTGCACGAAATATTCTTCTTGATCCTTTATTTTATGGAATTTAAGGGAAATCAAAAGATATTATATGTTTACTCGATGATATATAATAATTACAGTTGGCTAGCAATTATTGTCACGTTTGTTATTAATGTTCTTCCACGTTAATATTTTTTTTTCAAGAGTTTAATAGTAATAAGAGATATATTGTCTTGTCTAAAATTTGATGCGAGGATTATTTTGGGAACATTGTTAGTAAAACATCGAAAATAACTCGCAGCAGGTGCCACAATTTTCAGTTACGGTTCTGGACACGGTATTCGTCGTAACAATCGATAACGCCCGGTTGGCCGGGAGAAGGGAGACCATCGCCCTATATAATGCGACGTGTAAGGATAAGATATACCTGTCGACGGACAATCGGGCTAATGACAACGTGTGAACAACCTCCGCCTAAATCAATTCCCTTTATCATGACATATACCTCATTATATGTTGTATTGAGAGATGAGACACATATTGTATTACATTGAGCATGTATAAAAAAGATCATATACAGATTAAAGCAAAAGAATAGCTCGTAATAATAATTTAAGATAATTTCAAATAACAAAAAATTCGTTATTTTTTTTCTACATCAATGAACAATTCTTGTTAAAAAAATGGTAATATGACGAAAATAGGTTATCATTAAATGACCTATCATTATCATTAGATCGTTTGTGCTATAAAAATTATTACAAATATAAGATCGTCTACTTCAAAAATTCCCTAAAATTTGATATAATATTTTCTTAAGAAGTACAAAAATAATTTCCTTTCTCACAACTCAAGTCTATAAAAGTGATGTCTCTCAGTTTCTATAATTCGATTGTTATATAATTTTTTTCCCAAATATGTGTAACGTTTTCTCGATTTTGGTAATTGGATTTTTTATTTTAAATTGGAAATAGATTTGAAAATAACTACAACAAAATAAAAATATTATAGTATAATTATATAATTAATATGTGTTAAACGATCTGATGTAAGATAAACAATTATTACAAAAGATTGATAAATATAAGTACATATTAAACTGTTTACAAATCGATTAAATGGATGAAGCTTTTTTTCAATATACAACTCTAATTTAGATTTAATTAGAAATCAATATGATTTGTTCCATTAAAGCAACTAATAATAATAAATTTAATATCTCTCAAAAATCTATTGTTGATGTGAATAATTACGATATAATTATTCTTCTTGACATAATTGTTCCTTTTTACTATTATATTACTGCATATTATTTAAAATTATTTTATTTTTTTAATTTATATAAAGAGATTTATAAATTATAAACTTTTTTTACATATTATAATCATGATTGATATAATTATAGCAATTAATATAAAATTAATTACTTTTATAATTATAATTATCTTTATGACGATATATCATGTTAATATTATTATCTTAATAGAGCTTTGAAATAATAATGCAGGAATATAATATAGAAAAGATGAGCCACACATATATATATTGCACAATATCTTATAAATTAATTATATATTACAAATATATCTTATCGAATTAAATTCTAATAACGTCGATTAAATTACAATAAAGTTTAACATCAATATACTTGTGAATCATATATCGATCGAAATAAGATTATTTTAAAAATTTAGGAGAAATCTGCTATATTTATCACGGAGGAAGTTACGGTTCCGCCGGAAGACGAATATCTTTCGTCGATTATATACACTGGACATTATTTATAAAATTATCACAGTAGTTGTTTGAACTTATTATATATATGTACATGTATTTCCAGAACACGAAAAGTGTTATTTTGCATGAAGTAGTAAATGTATAAAGATGTACAATGCAATGCATATATTTCTTTTATGCACTATTTTAAATAAATACTTTAATACTTATTTAACCTTTTAACTACGGATATGCATTCCTATTCGTCGTTCTATTGACAGCCGTAGTTAAAGGGTTAAATATGTTGAAAATGCTAAGGAGCGATGAGAACGTTACACAGACATATATCTTTGCTTCATTGCAAGTTAAATAAATATTTTAAGATGATAACAAAATTTATGAGATATTATAAAGACGTCTAAGGACATCCTTTAGGATGCGCGTTTTAATTTTTTCCTTAAACGGTCTCTCTGTTTTCTTGTTTCATATCTCTCACATAGCATATTTCCAAACTATTCTAACAGTATCTCTCTTTTCGCGAAGTGTATAATGTCTCGAAATATAGATACATTCGAGATATGCAACAATAGTTTCTCTATCTTTCTTCGATTTCTAATTTCATTTTGTAGGTGCAAATCAAAACTGCTTTGTGTCTTTTCGTTAAAATATGCATGATGAGTTACGTTTTTCCTTTTAAACGTAAATTGAATATAAATCGAGGATATTTTTTATGTGCCTATTTTTTATTTTAATACTTTCTTTATCGCTGAACATTACGTGTATCTTTGAAAATAAATAAAATATTTTTTTAAATTGCAGAAATCACCAAATCCCACAATAAATTTTTGTACGCAAGAAATACCAAGCAATGATATATCAATATATAATTGCTTTATAGCTTCATTGGCGAAATTATCATATCAGCCACTTCGAAGTCTAATCAAAATATCTCTCTGCAATTCTCTCAAATTCTCAATAATCGATTGTTGCTGATTCAAATCATATTGAGAAATAGTTCCAAAAATGTGAAGGTATCGATAATTTTTAACCATCGCAATGCCCCATATCGTTTCTATTTAATTTGCTTCGTATAGCCCTTCTTCTTCAGCAAATCGTCTAATGTTTCCTGAGTATAATAAACGTTGAAGTCCGTGGGTTCGATGCCCTCGAAGACGGCGTATACCGACGGCTTCAGATTGTAGAAGAAGAGCGGCTGGCCCCTCGAGGCGAAGTCTTTTGTCAAAGTCTCGATGACAGTGGCAGCCGTAAAGTCCGCACCGTAAATGTACGAACAGTCGATCACTACAGGCGTCGCGACGCTTCCGGCGCGTCGGCTGTATTTGTTCACTAAATTACGCACATAGTCCACTGATGGGAAGATCAGGCAACGATCCGGTGTCAACATTAAGTACTCGATGCCATGAAGAGTCTGTCAGAAAAAACAAATAAATAGATGACAAGTTATGAAAATAGAAATTAAAAAAATGAAAATTAATTGTAAAAAATGAAAAATAAAAACAATTTCTTATTCTTCACGTATCTTGAAAATTGTAACTACGAGCGGAATTAATTGCACATCTCTATATAATTTACTATTATTATGGAAAATATTTTATAAATCCGTGAAAAAAGTATAATTATATATGTACAAGTAAATGTGGAAGAAGCAAGAATATTGAATTAAATTGCTGGCTGATGCAAAAATCGATTTCCCTTTTTTTTTTAAAGTGACTCGAATAATTACCTTGAGTTTCTCCACAGTTATTTTCGGTCTTGCGGCATGATATAAGATAAATAGAATATTTAATCCAACACCGCAGAGAATTCCTATTTCTAGTTGCAACACCAAACACGCGATGAACGTGCCCACACCCGGGATGAGATCTGATTCTGAAACGCGGAAAAATAATTTATTCATGATATATCCCCCTAAATTTATTTGACATTCTTTACACTTATGAAAACATGTTTTCTTACTCTTCGTCCTCCACATCGGTTTTACGACTTTGACTTCAACCATGAAGATGACTGCGGCTATAATGATCGCCGCTAAAGTGGCACGTGGAATGAAACTAAAGTATGGGGTAAGGAACAGCAAAGATAAAATTACTAGCACACCTGAAAACAAAACATATAAATATTACATCGTACGGAGAATAAAAATTTATATTAAATAATTTATCTTGTTAAATAGAATATGGCAGACTTATTTCTGTAGCATTTCCATAATATAGATACATTATTTAAAAGAATGACAGTTGAGATACTACGAATTTTGACAAAATACATATTTATTGCTTTCTTTATTTGCTCTTTCGATTTTACATCCAACTCGGAAGTGAAAAATATGTAATGTTTAATTTATAAAATTTATATATATATATATATATATATATATATATATAAGCGAAACTCACCAGTATAAACACCGCCTAATGGTGTCCTGACACCAGAAGCGTTGTTTACTGCGCTTCTACTGAGAGATCCCGAACCTGGAAAAGCTTGCATAAAGGAATTTCCAATGTTCGACATACCGATTGCTATCAATTCTTGCGTAGCGTCTACTGCTTTTCCGTTAGCTGCAAAAAAGTAGATTCCATATATATACATATAGCAATTTTATTCTATATAATAAGATATAAATTGATTGTATAACCAAAAAGATTTTTGAAGAGTTTGTCATTTTGCATTGTTATGATGTAAAGTTACACAACGATAAGCAGTTTATTCTAGTATGTACTTTTTGATAAAGTACTTACCAAAAGCTTTACAAATAGCGATATCCTCCATTAGAGAGATGAGCGGTATAACGAGAATACCACTGCCTAAATTACCGATCATATCGATAAACGTAAGCGTCGTATTGCTATCCTTAATGTATCCAAATGGTGGGATTTGTACAGCAGGCATGCCTCCCGGTATGTAACCTGGAATCAAAAATTTCAGTCCAGCTAAATTTCTAAAATTGACGATTGGATTGTTTGTATCTTTTTATGGTATATATTATTCTATTATTTATATTATAATTTATATTATAATTTATATTAAAAGATCTATATAATAATAATTTATTCTTTTTAATAAAAATTTGTTAGCATAGCTGGACATTTGTCTTATGCTTGTACAAAACTTATTTGCAAAGAAATAAATTTATCACATACCAATCAATTTGAAAGGCGAGTTGTCCTGGAAGCTCCAACCTAATACACCACAAAGTATCACTAAAAATGCATTTCGTGAAGTGCCGATTAACCATAAGACTTTATTCACGATGCGATGTTTTGTAGAACGAAGTTCTTCCTTGTCTGGACCAATTTTGCATGCGGCTAATAACTGTAATGCAAATTTCTCATTATAAGAGATATATTACAAAGATAATGATATATTATCATATTTTTATTAATTATACTATTTTTGTAAAATATTTTTTATTAATAATTAATTAAGAGATTTCTTGTGTGCGCGTGTTACTTGCTTTTTCTCTCAAGACTTATTAAAACTATTAAAAGAAATTACCCTCAGAATTAATAGCAACGCTATGCAAGATGCTCCAAGAGTAGCATCCCACGCTGATGTCTCGTGTATTAATCCACCAATATTCTGCCACATTTCGATAAATTGAGCTCCTTTGGCAGGAATGCCAAGGATGTCTTTGATTTGCGACGTGACGATTATCAAAGCCACCGCCGACGTGAATCCGGAACTTACTGGCCCGGAGACGAAATTTATCAGAAATCCTAAAAAATAAAATTTTATTTCTTCTATCTATTCTACATTCACTCCATAAAGCGAAGATACGAAATACTTTTAATGAAAAAATGACATTTTAATGCCAAATTGAATGTGATGCAAATTGTTGAGCTCGTGTTAAAAAATCAAACAATTCAAAAAGCAATTATTTTAAGAATATTTTCATTGTTAATTCAATTTTATAAGACATAGTAACTAAAAATTAAATAAAATCTATCAAGTCTTTCAAGTTTTATATTTGTCAAACTGTCACACTTCTTATACTATCTATATACAACAACGATCATTTTTTTAGATACACTGGAATATTTTATGACTATATTATATATGATTATCAAACTAAACTGATTGCTAAATTGATAAAATTATTAAAGTAACTTACCGAGACCAAATATACCCATTATTAGTTCTACAATTCCAGCTATGAAGCTCAACAAAATCGCATGTTGTATCGGAGACTCCAAATGAGATATCGTTTGATAAGTCAGTAAAGAAATTATGGCAGTAGGTCCCATCGGTATGTCTTTGCAAGATCCAAAAATTACGTAAATGAAACAACCCAGAAAGCTACCATACAAGCCGTACTAAAATAAAAAATAATATACGTGTGTATATAATATTATATATATATATATATATATATATATATATATATATCAATATAAATATCAATATGCAAAAAATTATCAGTTAATTTTTTCTTATTGTTAGTGGAAACATTGTGAAAATTATTTTTTAAAATAATAATATTATATTTCTTCGCGCAAATTTTAAATTAAAATTTTATTAAAGTAAAATTTAAAGAAAATTAATGAAAAAATATGGGTTTGCATTTATTTCTATTGAAAATTAATTTGTGACGAATCATTTATTTTTAATTATGCATTTTTTTGAAAATGATTGAATTTACTTATTAAATATATTAAATATACTCTTTGATTGTTTCTATCTATTTTAAATTAGGCTAGGAATAATAGTCAAACGTCTATTATATCGCTGTATAATCTGGAATTCTTATCTAGAATTTCTGATGTAATTCTTGTAAATCATTAAGCCAGCAATAAATGTCTCTTTTATGTACCTGTGGCGGTAAACCGGCGACGTTCGAATATGCTAGTGACTGAGGAATAACGGTAAGACCCACGGTAATTCCGGCCACTAGATCTCCGAGCGCATCTTGACTGTTATATCTTGGTATCCAGCTCAAAACCGGTAATCTTTTGTAAAGGGTTTTCTTCTTACATATGGCCCTGGCACGCCGCCTTGTATATTGTAACGCCGATTTTAAAAGACCTTCCTTCTGCTTGACCTCATCATCTCCTGATTCTTCGATCACTGTATTTACATAGCAAGCAAAAATAATTATATACGTATAATATAATCATATACATATGTATATATAATAAGTTAGAAATACATTAACAAGATATTTTTAAATTATTTTCAGTCTTAATTAATTCTAATTTTATTATAAATGTAAATAATATTTTATTACTCCATTCAGTATTTTTAATCTACTGGTTTATTTTTCGCATAATTATTCAATCATTATTTAAAAATTTAAATTCTGTATTTTACAATATTGTATCTATTATTCTACAATATTGTATATCATATTAAGAAAGTATGCTTTTTTTTAATGATAATAATGACAGAAAGCAAATCATTTTTACCTCTTTTCAGTCATCATTTCGGTTATATGTTATTTTATATTTTGACTTATTTTTAAATAAGAATAATCTAAAAAAGTATACTTAAATTTTATCATCATTCGCAACTTTCATGTACTTTTAATACAGAGATTCGCATCTGTCATATTGTTTGTAATCCATCACGTTAACTCATAAATAATTTCGTATATGCGAAAATGCAACGTGACAAACAAATGACAAGGACGGAGTGCTCATATATCCTATCCGCGAACATTATGTTAAATTTATTATCTCGCCAAGCAAAAACACATATGAAGAAGAAAAGAAAAAATACCATATACTTCCAGGCACGTGCCGAGTCGTATCTTTAAAATACGTCCACTTTTCCGAAGGCCGATTTGACATTCGTCGCGCCAAGGAAGGTAAACCAGTTTCGCGAAATAAAATCATTAACAATATGCATAAATCGCGTTACTTTTTCATAAATTTACGTTCGCCAACGTCACCGAATATATCAAAAACTTGCGGAAATTCTTTAATGATTTTCTTTTTTAATTTGTTATACGCAGAATATCTTATATATGGGAAATAAAAACATTTATTAAAAAACGAGATAAGCAGTAAGATAACTGACAATGCCTGATATGTTTTCAATTCTTACAAAAAAATAAAGTAAAATAAAATAATCACCAAATACATAAAAAACAGTATGATATAATAATTTTCTTTTTATCTTTTTTTTAGTTTCTTATTTTATTTTTACATTAATTCATGTTATATTTTGTATTCAATATGTCATACGATTTATCGAACTTGAGATAATATTATTAGCTTGTTTTAAGCTTGAAAGACTGCCAACGAAATTTTATCACGCTTAAAATGTCATTTTATCAATCAATATTTAATATTACAATAATAGTATAATATATTTAATGAATTAAAAAGTTATCCATGTGACATCACGATGCCAGGATATCAATATCAATAAGTTTTTATAGAAATGTAATCAAACCAATATTTATCGTTATTTTTTTTGTTCCGTAAGCAGAGTAATACATAAAAGTTCCATAAAGTTAAATGTAACGTTCCAAAAAAAGTTCCAAAAAATATTTTATAAATAAAATATTGAAATGTTTTTTTTCAACAGAATTTTAATATGTATTTTAACGTGTTTTTTAAAATATAAATTGACAAAAATGTCTGCATTATAATCATATGTGAAACATATGTAATCTTACAAAATGACGTGCGGAATATTTTAATCGATTTCATAATATACTCTTATCCAACAGGTCATTGAATTTTAGCAGACTACTTACTTTTATGACATCCGCATCGTACATGTAAGAAGCAAATTTATTTATAGTATGATCTTTTATTAAATGGAGAAAGCGTACATGTTCATATGGAGAAAACGTATGTATATATAAATATTTCTCCCCACGTGTCTACTTTATAATTTAGCCAAAAATATGATTTCCCAAAACATTTGTATGTGCGATCATTATTTGAAAAAAAAAAAAACTTACAGATAAAATCCGAAGAACCCTGTATGTCTCGATGGTTTCCGTGCGAATTGTGAAAAGATTGGTACGAATGAATGAGATCCACATTGTTGGTAGATTCGCTTAAGCCATGATTCACGTAACCTTCCAACCTTTGTTCGCTGTCTATTGAATTGTTATTGTTTTTCATTCTGGAAAAATAAAATACAATTTTTAGCAAATACAAAAAATATACATGTATAAAATTTTATCTTATTATTTTATTTTATTATTTTATTTTAATCAAAATAACAACGGTCGAATGGCGGATGCCATTGAATAATTCGATTTTTTTTCACTCGATAATGGCATGTATATTTACAAAATAAATTATTTATACAAATTATTTATAAGAGAATAAATAAAATTAAGATGTTATTGTATATAAAGTGCATATGAAAAATAGCTTATTCATTACAGAAAGTGAAATCCTGGATGTGATATTTATTTTCAAAATATAAATTTTTAATTTTCAGCTGATACTAAATTAATCGCAACATGTAGTAATATGATCATAATATTTTAGTTATTAATTAAGATTATTGGAGATAATATTTGCGAATGGAAGAGATACATCACGAGTCTATTATTTCACTTGGTCGTAAATCATGTATTAATTGTAGTCAAGGTTGCGATATTATTGTCACGAGAATATCATCTTTTTAATTTCTCTTTCTTTCTATTGGAAGAATAATAATACTAAGAAAATATTGTTATATTATAAGTAGGACAAAGATATGATTCATTGCATTTGTTATCTAAACATTTATTGTGTGTATGTGAGAGCAAATATAATTTCTCAATATAACTATATCGAAAAAAACTGTCTTAAATAAAATCAATTCCTATCAAAAAATAAATTCAATTAAATAAAAACAATTTCTATAAAAAAATAACAAAATAATCCGGCAAATTGCTTAATTAATGTGACATATTTACATCAATTCAATAATTACAAATGTTTAATTCTATGGACAAAAAACTTATTATATATAAATATTTTATTTATTTATTTTTCCCAATATTTATCTAAATAAGATAGTTTTATTTATTTAAGATACTTCTTTCAGTATAAGATTATTGATTTTTTTCTCTAACAGCTTAAATACGACAAATGCAATGCGAATACAGCCCTCGACTCACCGACTAAGTTACGTGAGCGCAGTTATCATAATGGCTAGTGCTCCTATTTTATGTAAGATGCGCAATTTCATAACTTTTTAGAATCCCTCTTATACCTGATATAGATGGATATTATTTTTCAACCATGAGAGATGTAGATGTGTATTTGTATATTTGCACTAGATATTATCTTTCCGTTATTAAAAATTAAATGTTAAAACTTTCATCCATTTCATTTTCTCATAGTTTTTAAAACCATTAAAAAAATTACAATTCTATTATTTATATGCGTTAAGATTCAAGATATATTTAAGAGATTGTCTAAAATGATAACACTTGCGTAATTTGCTTCTAATTTTTAACGTGTTTTATTTCTTTATGTTCTTAATTTAATTTTTGTTAAATTAAATTAATGATAAAATATTTATAGCTAATTATTTTTACTTTTTTCTGTTCTTATAAATTGTTAATAGTGTATTTTCTTATCATAAAAAAATTAATAATAAGATAATTTAAATCATTATCGCATAGTAATATCTGCTAGTTTGATTTTACATTCTTCTAAGAACAAGACACAATTCTTAAGATTACAATTCTTATAATAGAATAAAAGATAACTCGTACTAATATAAAATTGCATTAATTATTATAATTATATAGATAATCACACTTGTAATAATTTCAAATGTAATCGACTGATAAATTTGATTTTTTAATGTGTTTTTTATTTTCCATTTCGTTATATTCTGAAATTAATAATCAAATTAATCAATATCTTTGCTCTTATTTATACAATATTATTGACTGTAATTAATTTAATAGCAGGTTTTTTAATAATTTTGTTATACATGCACATTATAATCTTATGAAAACAGAAACTAATAAAAAAATTTTTTATTGTTTAAAATTATTGTGTTAAGTAATATTAATCAGTTTATTGGAATTTTACTATTATATTAGAGGTATACTATTATTAAAATTCATTGTTTGTCTAATATTTTTAAATGATTATTTAAATGATTATTTTCAATAAAGTACTTCAAGTTCAACAAAATCTGTAAAAAAATATTGTATTGCTAAAATAAAATAAGATAAAATGTATCATTGCATATGTAATAAGTACAATATATCAATTAAAACAGTTATATTTAATTGTTACTAGAATTAGTGTAATTTATTAAAAGTTTACTATACAAGTGGGTTCGATTAACTAGAGATATTCTATCAGTTTGATTTGCTGATATCGATGTTTACTTACTTGCATTTTTAAAATTGAAAAAATTTATCGTACAATCAAGCAACAATAGTACACGTGTATTTCTTGTAATAATATTGTGAAATTTTGTGAAATTTCTTTTCCTATCTTGTTATCCGGAGATATATTGAAGGAAAGTGAGTTCAAATATTGTATATATTGTGTGAATAGTACAAGAAGAAATTCTTGTAATTTCTTTGCACTGATCGCAGATATGAAAGTTATGACTTACGCAGAATACCGGTACGTATTTTAATAACCAATTAGGAGAATTTTAAAAGAAAATGAATGTGCTTTTTTACGCTGAATCACTTCTAATAAAAAAATTACAATTTTAGAAAATGATAATTCTACAAATCTATATTAATTTTTAATACAATAATACAATAAGTTTTTCAATTCATATTGTTAAATAGTAATACAATTTGGATATCAAAATTAGAAAATCCAAAATTGTCTTATCCTGATATTATTCACATATATGTTTATAAAATAATAATTTTATTGATTTTTTTTAATCATATTTTTTGGTACAAAAATATATTTCTTAAATTAAAACAATTGATGGAAATTCTATAAATCTTAAAAAGAATATTGAACTGCTACATCTTTCGCATACAAATATATGATATTTATAATCGTATACACAATTGTTTTATTTGTATATTTCAAATAAATGTGTGATTCGAAGATAATTAATTACTTCGAGTGCTACCGATCGAAGCCGAGAAAGAGAAAAAATATGTCATATCAAAACTAACTTCTTATGATATTAATGATCCGTTTATACTATACGTTTATCGTTTAAAAACAATCACGAAGGACACTGGCACAAATTTTTTTAATATATACCTACAATCGTGTTTATAGCAAATAATAATTATATGATATTAGAAATATAATCATCGAGATAATTATGTCGTTTTTTTGAGATAGATAAAACGAGTTTCCATGATAATGTCATAAATTTATATATTTTATTTGTATATTTTTAACTTAATACTAGTAATAATAATTTTTTTTAATTTTTTTCGAAATGGCATATTAACAAAAAACTTTTCTTTTAATAATTATGAATGTTCACTTCCTATCTTTCTTCAGCATTAATTTTGTGCATTAAATGATATTCATTTTGTTGTTATGTATACAATATTTTTAATATAGATAATTAGTATGTAATTATAATCGTGAATATATTAATAAATATTATAATATTAGTGTACGTTCGTCAAAATATGCAATTTGCCTCACAAATTCTGCGACGCGTGGAAGTTCGTTTTACAAACATGCATCGTTAACACCTGTCTTCCTGACATGTATATCTGCATTATCTAGCTCTTGTTGCATTAATGAGCATTAATCGAATCATTTTATTTACAAGAGGAAAGATCATCAATTGATAAAAGCATGTATATCAAATCACTTATCACTTCGACAGTGACATTCTTTCATATCAAGGTCTACCGAAGTTTATACGAATTGTAGTAGATATAAATTAGACATACACAATATCAAAAGATTAAATGGTGAACGAATAGATTAATTTCAGATTGTACACCGATAGAAAATTAATTTTTATCGTCTTTTAATTAATTATCGATGAAGACACGCAAATTATAGTAATTTTTTCTAAGAGCCAATCACGAGACTGTTGTCTAAAATACAATCTTTGATCAAGATTTCCTATTGCAAAAACTAAATGATCATCGCAAATAGACAGATAACTATCAGCAAAATTTGTGAAAAAATTTACTATTAAATTTACTTACTATTAAAATTTACTACTAAAATTCACTGATCAAATTATATGCGTTAGATTGAATTTAAAAATGGAATGGAATTAATTGAGAAGTAGATGAGTCAAAACATATTTGATATTTTATTTAACAAGAGTGACTTACTCATAATCTCCATGATTATTGCAATCTTATTAATCTAATCAAACATTAAACAGAATAACGACTTTTCACTTTTTTTTCTTGTGAAAAATTTGCTCCATGCCAATGATTTTGTGTATATGTATTTACATCAATATATTGTGTCATAAATTTATAGTTATAAAAATTTATTTTACATGTCATCTTATTTTTATTTACATTCATCAACAAAATTTGCACATAAAATTGTATTTTCGATTAAATTGTAAATAATGATTTTATAATTATTCTTTTATAACAAATATAAATAAGAGAGTTTTATATCTTTAAACTATAAAATCTTTTATTTCTATATAAATTCAATCATCGAGATTATTTTTAAAAATTTCAGAAATTTAAATAAATTATTTTTTTCGACATTTTTTTGATAAAAATTTTCATTTCAATGCGTCTGATAGTTCTAAAAACAGATATAAATAAAAAAAGATATAATAAGTATTATACTCACTTAAGTGTTTGTTAAGTATTTGGCTTAAGGAAGATCCGTTTTTGTTCTCAAATATCGTTTAAATATGCAAGAGAAAAAGTTCACAAAATCAAAGCGCAGTTTTTTTCTCGAGAAATTCGGATTTTGCATTTAATCTCGAGAATACTTCTTTCTGCTAACTCGAAATATCATCGCGCATCATTAAAGCGCTAATTTCAATGCCGTTTGCCAAAGTAGCAAAGAGTATTCGTTAGCAAAAAAGAAAAACATTCATTTTGAATGCTTTTGTATAAATGACGGGAAATCTTTGTAATTTCCAATCTTCTTTACAACGTATAATTTTTCTTTTTGATTTTCTCACCAGCTATTACCAGTTATGACTAATTTATATTCACACGAAGTATCGAAAACGAAAAAACAAGATGTTTCTAAAAGATATACAATGAATATATTTATATATCACGTGGAGGCATGCGGGATTCAAACCGGTTTTCCCGACGTAATGGCGAAACTGAGTTGAAGTCGACATGCGACCGGCCATTTAAGCGCGTCGTGGTTCACGAACGGGGCAAACTCCCTCTCTCCTAGACGACCTCAGCCTCCCCCGCAATGACGTAGAGAACACACTAATCGTCACATGATGACTCGGTTGCGACTTCGGTCGTTAAGAATTAGATTCGATCGCCGATCACGTGCTAACGATATAATGTCTCCTCCTGTCTAGAATATTCTAACATTTAAACTCCATTGCAAGTTTTGTACGAGTTAGTTTTAGAAATTCCCGAACATTTGTCTTAAATCTTGCCTAGATTAGAGATTTAGAATCTGAGTTCTTTCGTCGTTCAGATAATTTATATCGCGTGGGATGAAGGCGATATTTATACTAAAACAATACGATAATGAACTTTTGATTAATATTCGTTTAACAATTAAATAATCATAAAAAAGATAAGATTTCACGATAAGACTTAATTCCAATATTTATTTGTAAAATTTTACTTTCGATTCATCAATATGTAATTTATGTATTTATTAAGCATTTAATTGTTGTAAAATGTTAACGAATATCTTATCACACATACATCTTATCATACATACATTTCTTGATTCGACAAACGAGAAGTTACAATTTTTGGATGATTAATTGATATATCAATACGTATATTTTCTGTGAATCACAAGAAAAAGATATTTTTGAACATTAATAAAAAAAAGTAATAGCTATAACTAGGAAAACAATGATATAAATCTACACGAATTAAATTGGATTTTTTCTGTTTACTTTGTCTCTCTCTCTCTCCCTCTCTCTCCCCCCCCCTCTCTCTTCCTCTCTCTATCACTTTACTAATTATTATTTACTGAATATTTGAGACTGTTCAAATTTGATAATTAAAACAAAAAGTATTAGAATAAAAGTATAATATTAATACAAAAATTTTGCGCAACACAAGAGTCATTGATATTTATTATAAAACTATGTACATTGACACACTATCATTTAGATCTTCTGTTTTCCTGGTTTTGACACCTCGTATCTGTATTAGTCAATGATAAGAGTCGAGATTGTATCATCTCTCTATCATTAAATACTAAATCCGACGAGACAAAAATATATTTGTTTAAGAAATCCGTCACGTACACGTGACAAACATAAAAACTATAGCGCAAGTTTTAATTAATCAGAAATTCTTCATTTCTTTATTCAAACATTTCAAATATTTTACGCAACGATACATTGTCCTTACACAATACTATTTTGATCAATATTTAGCTAAATTATAAGATATTTTATATCTCGGAAACTATCAATATGTAGATAAGACATCCGGATTTAACTACTAACGGTAATTTACGAACGGTAAACTACGAACGGTAAACGAATGCAATAATGCAATTAAACTAGATTTTGATATTCGTATCATCAATAAAATTAGTTGACAATGTAAACAAATTCAGCTATGATATAAATTATATGCAAATTGTTTTCGTGTTCACGGTGAGAAATCTTTTAGCAAAACATATTTTCGTCTTGATGGATTCAATACTTAATAATAGAAAAATGATGTATAATCTCGAATAATGTCAGATATAAAATACTAAGTGTCAAAAACAAATAAATAGAATAGATCTAGATCAAATGGTTACTATTGAAAAAGCTATTATTTCAGATAAATTTGTCTTTTAAAATTATTGTCTTCTCTTTTACACAAAAATATTTTATAAGTATATTTATTATATTAATTGTAAAATATATTTATTTTCTATAAATATATTTTTAATAAAATATTAATTAATTAATATATTTTTAATACAATATTAATAAATTCTAATTTATTATATTCATTTGCAACTAGTTAAAATAATTTTAAAATAATCTTGATTTTGGAAACAATTATTTTAGATATTAATATGTAATTATAATAACAAATTTATATTTTACATAGTAATTATAAACTTCATCTTTATAATTTTATTAGTAATTACATTTTTATGTAACATCAATTGTTTCAATTCGGAATTTCAATAAGTTGAGAATCTCTAATATAATATATAATATATCTAATATAATATATTCCGTGGCATATTGTTTTGGCGAAATGATTAACCGCTCAGTTAAATTTTTTCCGTATGCTTAATCAACCGTTTATTACAATAAATATTGACAGTACGCTCGTAAATCATCGTTATTGATCACGGGGTTCCGCGCGATTAACGCTCGTTAAATGTGCGTATACTTAGTATTTGAATGCTGATATCCAATTAAAATATCATTTATAAATTATTTGATGGTTCATCAATTTATAACGCTTTAAATTTTGTAAAAAGAAAGTCTCGAGATCTTCGTAATCGAATAAATCAACATATCAAAAATTTTTGCCGATATTAACATTAATTCTTATTGTCAGTCTTATCATTATTTAGAGAGGTATAATTTAAAGATATAATTCAGAAATTAAGAGATATAAAAAATCTTTAGATTTATGAATCTTGCTAGAAATCGAAACTTTTCGAAACTTTTCATCACAATTTAAGCATTTTTCGAAAAATTATTCTTGTTAAGAGGATATCGAATTAAATTTTATAAAAAATAAAAAATGATAAAAAAACTCTAAATAGTAAAATTCTAAACTTTAGAAGAAGTTAAATATATATTGAGAACCACTGCTAGCTGCTATATTTCATTAAATATTTATACTTATGCAATTATATGAGTGTCCCGTGACCGGTCCCGTGCAGGCAGACGTGCTTCAGTCATTTTCTCACGCACACTAGCAATAATATTTCAAGGTAATCTCTTGTTTTGCGGCATTTTAATTGGTCACGAGCTTTCAGTTGATCTACCAATCTGATAACACAAGCCGTGCTAGAGTACTTTGCGGTTCAACAATAAATCCATATCGAATCGACCTATTTAAAAGATTGTTAAACACAGTGAGTACTAATACATCTTTTTCCGATATTTCTTGATTTTTTAACAATTTATTTCTTTGTTATTTTCATATTTTATTATTAAAATACTTATAAACATATACATCATTTATTTTATTCTTTAAAAATATAATAAGCGTTTAAAAATAATTAATTCAATAATAATGAACATTAAACTTTGAAATATAAAAATAGATAATAATCAATAAGATTAAACGAGATAAAAACACGCTTCTTCTCGTAGTTTCAGTATAATGATTGATGCAACTATTATGAGATTAATGATTTAAAAAAAATAAAAAATAAAGTTAAAAAGTATTTTATTTAAGGAAATGATTAAAAATATTTAAATGTGTGAAAGAAATTCTTACACAAAAAATTGTTCAGATGTTTTTAACGTATTTTTAAATTTTTAATAAAAATAAAACAAGACTATATTTATTATATGAACATTTCGACATGATATATTACACATTAAAATATTCTCATTAATACAATCGTTTTCTTAGTTCTTCTTGTTTATAGATTCTTGGATCAATTTACATAGTTATGAACTCTGTCGATCATTTTAATATTTTATGACTCATCCTTATCTAACTTGTTAAATACGAGAAAGTTGACGTAACGAGTACCTCTAAGCGAAAGCACGTGCTCCAAATTTCACGCATAAACAGCGATTAAGTGGATCGCCTTGGAATCCAATGCGTCACACAAACAATGTAATATATAATCTTTTCATGAAACACTGAATCTGCATAATAATTGTAAGAAACTGTTGTATTGACTAAGTAAACAATGACACATTATTCATAAACAATGATATTATTCATAAGTTCGTGCAAAGAGTTTGCTTTTAACATTTTAAACGATTTTAAAATACTTTTACAAGATTCTCATGACAAGTCGTCACATATTACAATGTCTTTTATCACAAAATTCTTGCAAGATAATTTTGATCTCGAAATTTTTGTACATAATATATAATTATATAAGTCTTGTGGTTTTATTAAATTATATTAGCATTTAATTTTTATTACGCGATATATTTAATACGATATTAATTATCATATCATAAAAGAGATTGCACACGTTTGATAATTACAGCTTTGAGTATGACGCATCTATTTTCGCGGTACATTTCATTTTTATACGCAACGATTTGTAACTTTGTCTAATGCAATGCAAAAAATCATTATTCATCCGTGGATACATTTTCCCTGTGGAGAAGATGAATAAAATCATGCGAAATATTCCTTCTGTCGGTGATTGATTAAAATTAATAAATTGTGGCTAATTAACTCGTATTTTAATGTTTCATTAATGTTTTATTCGTTTATCTGTAATACGTCAAAGAATATAAATGTTATTTATTAAGGAAAATGGGCAATTCCCAAGAGTAATATCATTGTCTATGAATAATATTAGTTAATTCTCAATGCAGTTTTTCCTATACTCGTCATATTAAAAAACTTACATGGAGGAAGACAATAATTTTAATAATGATTATAGCATTGAAGCTGTCACGATGCATTGCATGTTGAATCTCGTTTTGCGTATTATTTGAATATAAAATCATCATGTGATTATTTTTAATATGACTATAAATTCTTAATGTCTTTTATATAATATGGTTAATTTTTTAATGAAATTTGTACTATATTGATGAAGATACATCTTTTTTATGATTATATAAGATGTTGTTTTATTATGATTGTTTATACTTTATTACTTTAACATGAAAATATTCTGTGGACTAACTTTATTACTTTATTACTTTAACATGAAAATATTTTGTGGACTAACTTTTTAATTATATTTTTGATAATATAAGCCATTTGTTCATACACATTATTTTTGCGGAACATTATTTGAAAGTAATATATTTTTCCCATGATTTATTTTACGATAACGTATCATTTTAATAAAATTATCACATAAATAAAATTGTCACATAAATATTTTTCTACACATATACATAATATATAATAGTTTACTCATTCATATTGTTTTTGAAAAATAATTCATAGATAATTCTTTTTCCATAACCACAATATGATGTGCTTGA